TGAAACTTGTCAGCTTTACAGTAGTTAGTTCTAAATTTAACCAATAAAGAATATAATAAACCTATTAATCTTAATTCTGGAATAGCTTTCTTAATTATTTACTTTTATAGATAATTTTGAATATCAAATTATAGTAACTGAATTACTAAAACATGACAGATATTCATTTATTTAGATATTTTGTGAACGTATAATTCATTACAATGTAGTTTTTGATATAAACGGAAATTGGATGGTGAATCAATTAAAAATCATAAAAGAACAGAGTAGTAGACACTTGTAACTTTGAATAATAATAAACTTGGAAATTTTATGTTTTATAGCAATTGCCTTATTCTTTGGCAAGTGACGAAATTTAATAGTTCATATTTTGATACCAGCCTTTTTGTTATATCTATCAATGATCATCGAATGACATTCATGATATGTATTACACATGTGAAATTCATCAGTTAGGACGTTTCGGTAAGAATAATCATGAGACTACTTATTAATAAGTACATACAAATTGTTAATTTGAATGATTTGTGTAAATTACTTACACTACAAATCATAAGTACTAATGTAAAGAATGAATGTATAACTGTCTGTAATGAAATAAATTTTTGCCTAATTGTTTCATTTGTAAGTAATCAAAATCGTTTCACACAAAATAAAATGATAATGAATAAGAAGGACCATTTTTTTCGATAAAGTTCGTCTCTTTTAATTTCTAATTCGAAGTAAAATAGATTCATTTACACAACCTTTTATTTGATACCCACAGAAAATAATCTTCCTGTTTGATTTTATTACAACACACATTAAGACATATACTATATTGTATCATCATTTCCATTTATTTTAATAAAAATATTATTATGTTTCTAAGTGGTAACAATAATAATAACAACACAAATTAATAAAACATTTTTTAAGTAACCATATGGATATGCTTCAATGAACTTCAGATTGTGTTTTTATAGTCACTTTTTGAGGGAGAACCGAATAGAGATATTCCCATTACATATATATATATATATATATATATATATATATATATACTAATATTTATTCTCACGCAAATGAATCAATGGTCTCCATCTCACTAATTAAGTTAGTAGGTGGGTCTTGATGTATTAAAATGAAAACAACATTGTTTTCATCAAAATATTTCAATTATAAATCAGTTCAGAAAAATTTACCCAAAATAATTTTATTTTGTAATTAATGAATGAATGTATTTGATAATGTAAATAGAGGTTAGTTCTCTCCAATTATTAATACGCTTATGATTTTGATTGAGAAAATAAAAGCACGAAAACAATTTAGAATGATTTCAACAAGTATATATGGTTCAATAATGTTTTGTAAGAAGCTCATTATTTTATATTTAAAGCATAGGGACTAGAAAACAAGCATTCATTTGTATTGAAATCAACTTGATTATTGTAAAGTTAGTTGGAATGTTCTTTGATTTTATTAATACTACCTTAACTAGCTTTATTTTTTATTATTTCTTACTCTTGATATAGTGAAAATATAGGTTATCAGGTGTAAGAATATCATCTATTTTAAATAATGATAATAACTCCTTTTATTTTAACTTTTTTATAACTCTCATATCAGAATTCTAGATTGTGTTATATTGAAACAATTTTCATTGCATATTTAAAGTGATCAAAATAATTTTCAAAATAAGGGAATAGAAAAATAGTTTTATCTTTATTCAACCAATATTAGCTAATGACGAAAATTTCTTTTAAACTATTTAGAAGTTCTCAACAAAACTATCATAGCGAATGATAATCATTTGTTTGGGAGTAAATACTTTTGGAAACCGTATTCTATTCACTTAACAACTCGGTTGTGACAAAATTCTTAGATCTGACGATATCGATAATAAGATTCCAACTAAGTAGTTTCAAGTTATTGCATTATCATTAAGACTGAGTTGTCCTATGTTTTTTTGTTTGTATGCGATCCTATGTGCAGACGGATGCGAAGTTTTAGACTAAAATAAAACAGTTTTTAAATACACATTAGTTTTCGATTATTTACCAAAAAATGTTAGTAAGTAACATGAACCACGTTAAAAATTTACAAAAGCCTTACAAAGGTATATTAATAAACAGTGTATTAGATTGAGAGGTTCTATTATATAAATGCTATCAACCGATGTCCCACTAACCAATAAATTATCTTCATTCCAATGAACAATACCTTAATGAGTACGTTCACTAGTCAAGAGTACTGTGAGCTAAAATAAATCAATAATATATTTGTAATATCCCAATGAGTAGAAAAATTAGATTTTCTGACGTTTCGTGACTCAGTACAAGCCACTTCTTCAGAAGAAGTGGTTATTTTATCATTTTTTTATTGCTTGTAAGCACTAATCAATAAATACGAGAGAATATGGTACATTATAATCTAACTCGTCGCACTATAGCTCAAATCTATGTGAAAATTAGAAATAAATCGTTGACTGGTTGAAGCTAGATATTAACAGCATCGGATGCCGACTCAGTGGTCTAAAGGTTAAGCGATTGCGTGCCAGACCGAAGGTTCTGGGTTGGAGTCTCGCGTGCGGGGTCCTGGATGCGCACTGTACACCAGTTCCATACTAGGACTAAACGGTCGTCCACTGCTCTCTGGTTTTCAATGGTGGTCTAACATTAATCTATTCACCATATCAATCTAAAATCAACAATCATCACAACCCTATAGTAATAAATTATTCATTATGTTATATTAAATAAAATAACTTCAATTTGTTGGCTGTGAACTACAAACAAAGTCCAGTTGAATTCTTACTTCCTGAATCAACTCAAAGTAATTTACTTCAGATTACTGCGGAATTTAGCTAATATTCTAATCCTTGATTTTACTTTTGTTTTCAATGTCTCTAATCTATTGACCATGTGATGTAGAAAAATTTCATTTTTTCATAATTCTATAACTTTATTAATATCATACAATGCTATCAACGTGATAATAGATATTCTGTTAGTTTAAACCTTATATTAGTGATCACATTTTCATCCAGCTCTGGCGATCATATGCGTATAATTTACCAGATATGAATTGTTGAAACAAAACTTAGAAAACAGCATTTTATGTACGGAACATTAGTTTCATAACAATTATGTCAATCATACTCTCTTACTTGATTAAAGCTTTAAACTTTACATCTAGTAAACAGCTATTGAATAAATAAGAAAAGCGTCCATACTAAAGTTATATACTGTTTTAAATATCATGAACACAAATTCTATTTTGCAAGCAAAGATGGATAATGGCTAGCGGTGGAACCCAGGACGCGCGTTTCGTCCTATTTGGGACTCTTCAGCTGGATGTACCTGCATCTCAGAGTTGATGTTCACTCTGGGACTCGAACCCAGTACCTTTCACTTCAAACTCCATCGCGTTATCCACTCAGTCACTGAGTCCTGATAGCCACTTGCTTGTGCGATGGGGTAAAGTTTAAATTCAACTTAGTATTGTTTGTTTGAATCTTCCCATCGATGTGTTTAGGACTGCAACTGGTCAGTCTCTAATTGGCATATGTGCATACTGTGTGTATTGCCTCGATATAGCCTAAATTCACAAGCATTGTAAGCAAAGGTGGATAGTGGCTAGCAGTGTAATCCAGGACGCGCTATTTTTATTTATTTTATGTTTTCTAAACCTTTTTATATCGTGAAATTGAATGGTCAAAAGTGAATTACTATAATTTTAAAACTTTCTTTTTTCTATCCATAGGAATGTTTCAAAAAGTACAACCGTTCAAATGAAACTACCATGGCTTGAGACTTAGGATCATCATTAATTTAAATTAAATTTTCAACATATAAACTAAGCAACAATTAGCGAGGTGTACTACATTAATTGAAGTATCAAATAATTACTTTCTTTAATAATTCCATGACAAAAATACGTCGTTCTTTTGAATATCAGTCGATTAACTTATTTTTAATATATTTGATCTTAATACATTATACTTTTTCCTCGAATACCAGTTTATTGGTTGGAATTCCTGGGTTGAAAAACAATAAGAGAACTTCATTATTTATGCGAAATTTATTGCCAACTTACTTGGATTTTCTCCACTGTATCTTCTATCGATCCCATCATAATTATCATGACCATCATTTATGTTGGAATATCTATAGTAATGATTTTAAATCACGTCGTTTGGATGAGTACTTTAACTATAAATACAAACTATATAATTGCTGTAATAAGCCAACCGGTAAGTTCCTTATAAATTATTATTCTAGAGATCATAACTACTAAGTAACCGAGTTAAATGTAGGTTTCTTAAATTGGGATTCGTGGTTTAGATAACAGTTTGATAGAGTAATAAGATATGTATACGCGAGTTGCTTGTTTGAAGTGTCACATCTTTACGGTCATTGAAGGACTAAGAATTAGACATGGTGAACTATTATAAAGGAGAATAATTTTTCATCAGTTAAGACCTCTAAAAACTGTGTTCGCGTAACTTCACCTAACATCTAACCGTTGATAGCAAGAGACTTCAAGAGACTATTAGTTCATATTTATGACTTTATTTAAGACTAAATGTGGTCTACACACAATATCATAGGCGAATTACCAATCCACTTAATTGGTTTCCATTTAAAGCTCGAGAAATCTATTTCAATAGTTATTAGTATGAACAAAATTTATACTAATTGAAGTGATCTCAGTACTACGCTAGAAGGTTATACATACGGTTCTGTTTAATATCGTGACTATTTACGTCTTGGGAGACATTAACTATGGAAAGAAAGCTGACTAATATTCTGCAATTGAGATACACCTTCAAATGATAACAGTTTGTGTTGAAAGATAACTCAAAAATACTGGAAACTCCAAGCAAAACCAAATCAGCTTATATATGATGATGATTTTCGTTTGTTGAACTTTGTCTAGTTACTAAGTTCAAATTTCAATGCAGCTAGTTAATATAGTCAATACAGTTGGACAAATAGGATGCTTATTGCACTTATTCTGTGCCAACTACGGATCATCAAATGTGTTCTTAGAAAAACAATATTAAATTTTTACTGAGTACCCGAAAGATTGAAGTCTATTTTTTAAGTGCATACATTTTACAAATGAATATAACTGTTAACTATCACAGACCTAGTCAATTACTATATTTTCTTACTTTCAATAAATTATTTTGAATAAAGTTTTGTACCTCCAGTATACGCTTTATTATAATGAGTATGATATCATATATCTGCTTAAATTGAGAAATCGTTGACGTTCACAACATCAGTCATAAGTTTGGAACAATGACGTATAAAACTAAAAACATACTGTTTGGATATTCTGATAAATTAAATGTGAAGCGTGGAATTTTCAAAACCAGTTATTAACAAACATAGAGATATACAACAAAAGCTAGATCAGATTTCGTCTCTTATTATCATCATTATCGTATTCGTAATGATATATTATAGACGAATACAAAGCTGTTGAATATTTCTATAACATTTGTGTCAAAAAATATGTGACAAGCGTACAATAACTTGTGAATTACATAACTCTCCTTTCAGTAGACGAGAACCATTTATCTTACGTCCTGGAAACGGAGTCACACTTATTGAATTATATCAATTACTTCTGTTTGAGTTTTCGTCATCTAAAATCAGTTGAGCAGTTGATCAAAGAATGCATATATTCAGTGATTCTATTCTTCAAATACTTTTGGATCATCGTATAAAAAGTAAATACAGAATTAGAAACAATTATCATTCAGATCATTATTGTTATAATTGTCTGGTCCCAGTAACAAGGCTGATTGGCTTTTCGATGTGCAAAGAAAAGGGCCTTTGTAAAGAAATGTAAAGCTGTAAAGAAAACAGTTAAATGACAGAATGAAATATTTCAACTCAATCATACTATTAGAACAGGCGGGCACGTCGACGGACTATTTTTTACATACAAGCAGACAGATTCACTACAGTCTAATTATGTGTACGTGCGACAGATGGATTCAATCCGGTCTGCTGTGGGTGGAGCAGACGGAAACCGTATTGTTTACCCCTAGTACAGTTGCGCTTTCATACCATATTTAGAAACTTGTATGTATACCTAAATCACTTCTGAGCCATTAATAGATGTGCCAGTGAAAAACAAGGAACTCTCTCCCAAATATGCAGCATATATTAAAGTGCAATTATCAGGGATACGTACATTCCAATGATAAACACAGGCATAAATGGGCATGTCACCAGTAAGCGTTACGTGAAATCATCAAAAAGATAAACAAGTCTACATATTCCATAAGAACATATAAGCATAGAAGTTTCTACTCGTAGGTATACGTTACATACATATATAGATCGCACATGCCGAGAACTATATAATCCATCGTAAACACATAAGTATATATGAAACCACCCCAGTTCGTAGTGCGGCTGCTTCTAAAACTGAATGAATATCGAGTATTTAAATTGGTTTGTAAATAATTCATCATGGATACGGTCCCTTACGCTTATGCCACAAGCAAGTTTGGTATCGACCCTTGTGCACTAGTCACGGCACAGATTATGGTCAAAGCTCTTACCTGCCCTCGCCAAACCTAATGATTCAATGTGGAGATGATCTGGACATATACCAAAAGCAAATTACCTCTGCCTCACAACTTCACATATATATTTCAACATTCCCCACTTGCCCTTGGGCCTATGTTATGATAGAGTTGGGGATTAATTCGATCACCATCCTGCCAGTTACGTTAGTTTATGGGAAAAAGATCACTCACTAACCCGAAGACAGAAGGCAAAATTGCAAGACAGACTTTCGGATAAATATTCTGTTTACATGCAAATCGGTTGGCCATTTAAGAGAGGTGAATTTATCAAACTATGAGACTAAAATCATTATACTCATAATATTATGAGATCAACTATGTTACACTGAAAATACAGTTGAAAATACATTATGCCACGTAAATTTTATCCCCTATATACAAAAACAAAGTGTTTTTTATGAAACTTAGTTTTTAAAACCTCTATACTACTAGTTTCTAATAATTATGTTATTGTTGAATCTCACAAATTGGTAATTTTCAAATGGCTTGTAGGAGATGTTGTTAAGTACATTTCTGAATTCTACAAAAAAATCCCTGAATTTTCAATAGATGTTAACTGGCATTTACAATTCTTAAAATAAACTCCGTATCGTTTGAGATAGAATTAGTTAAGCAATATCTTTATTTTAAATTTTCCATTTAAATCACATTTAGCAGAATAACCTTTCGAAACAATTAGAGATTCCCATTGACTATTTATTTTTCTTCTCAATGTTTACTATTATTTTTGAAATACAAAATCTACATTTCAGCTAATCTTTGTACTAAAAAATATAAGAAATACCTGTCTGATTTTCAACAACAACAACAACAAAAACAAATGATTAGAAAAATTAGAAATTCAAATAATGAAATTCAAAGAAAATCGGAACAATTTAACCTTCACATATTTAAACCAGAATCTATACAATATTCAAAATTCAATAAAATTGATTTTTACAAAAATTTACCGCTTCATTTAAAAAATGAAAGTTTTATAAATATTCATAATTTAATTAAATCAAATAGAATAATTTTATCAAAATGGTTAAATCAATTATCATATTCAACAAATTTAACAAAAATTATTAATTTAACTGAACAATTTACAAATTTAATATTAGATTTAGCTTATGAAAGAATTAAACTTATTCTTTTATATGAATTTCAACGTATATTAAAAAATATAATTAATATAGAATCATTAAATAAAAATTATTATACTAAATCTACTATTTCCAAAGAATTATGGAATAATTTAGTTTATAATAAACTTTATACAGAATATATTTTTAATGAATTCGATGTACCTGTTACATTAATCAAACCTAAATTAATACAATCAGTTTTCAATGAGATTGATTATAATGGTAAGAATTATGTTGGTATCATTATCATGTTTTGATTTGATAATTTTGAATAAATTGAGTATTGAGTAGATTGTTATAAATAAATTAAATATATTTGTAATATCTTAATGAGTAGAAAAATTAGATTTTCTGACGTTTTGTGACCCAGTGTAAGCCACTTCTTCAGAAAATAAATAACCAAATTCACATTAATCCAAGTTTAAATAGTACAACGGAACAATCCAAAAATATTAGGTGATCAATCAAAAAACAGGTCTGAATAGATCAATGTCATGTCATTTCATTTCGTTCAAAGTGTTTCATAAGGGATATGTATGTAATTTTGTGTGTATGTATGCATTGTTAATGATGAAAAATGTGTGATCGTTGTAATGACAAAGGATAGAGTTAATTTGTAATGTAATGGTGTGAAATTGTAAATGATATCAGACTAGGTGACTGGGATAGATAGTCCAAGTAGGATGTATGGTAAGGCCTTCCTTTCTATTTAGAGCAGTAGCATTAAGCATTATATGAAAAGCTTCAGCTACTCTTTTTTCTTTGTAGTTGGAAAAACCCTTCTGTAGTATTTTGATATTTTTGAAATCAATTTGATGATTGTTGGAAATTGCGTGAACTGCTATTGCCGATTTAATTTGAAGTCTATTTAGTTCTACAGGATTATTAGGGGGCTTCTTTGTGTACCTAATATGTTCTTTGGCGCTAGTCAAGATTTCGCGAGATTACTCTCCAACATAGAAGGCATCACAATCGGCATACATACACACAAAATTACATACATGTCGCTTATGAATCACTTTGACCGAAATGAAATGACATGACATTGATTGATTCAGACCTGTTTTTTTGATTGATCACCTAATATTCGTGTTGTTCCGTTGTACTATTTAAACTTGGATTAATGTGAATTTGGTTACTTATTTTCTGAAGAAGTGGCTTACACTGAGTCACAAAACGTCAGAAAATCTAATTTTTCTACTCATTTGGTAAGAAAATTGGTTTATTTTATTAGTAATTTAAAAGTAAAATAAATCTAAGATGTTTGGTTTTCCCCTTATGCACACTACATTTATAAACAATGATATCTCAATTCCTTTTATAAAATGAACTTATGAAAACCTATATATCTGAGTTTCAAAGACAAAACAGTGATTTCTTGCCGTACTTATGAATACTGGGGCATATTAAATCAATATATGCAATCTTTGGTTAAATCCTGTTCTATTACTTTTTATTTTATTTGTAAAATCGACCTATACATTGGAGAAACTTTGTTCGTTCATTTTTATCATGCGAGTGCTTATATCATAGAAAAAGTAGTTCATTCAAGGCTGTAGACATGCTTTGTTGGCTACATGAAATGATCACAAAACCTAGGTAAAAGACTTTTGCCTAGGACTTAAAAAGATTTTTGTCCTTTCCAACTAGCATCAGATAATAAATTATTTATTACTAAACTTTGAATATGAGTGGATATTAGCTGTATTAAACAATATAAATGTACAATATAAAATTACTCTATGATTTACCATTCCTCTCCAGAAAACATTGAATAGGATTCAGAAGAACTTCATTCTGTTATTTAGTATGGCCTTTCAAAAGTATAAATGAGAATAAAATATCCATCTTATGTGCATAGACTTATTCTTCTTAAGATTATTTCATATGATAATGACTTATTTAAGTCATTTTAACCCAGGTGACCAAAATATTGTAATTTTTTAGTTTCCTGTATTTATATCCTTTATACATGGTACCAATAAAAAGAAAACTGACCTTACTAACTACACAAACATGTAATCTAATGTTTTTATCACAATTACTTTTTATGGACTTGAAATTCGCTAAAATGAAAGTTACCTTATGGTTTTTTAATATTTTCAATACATTTATGAAAAAATCTAAAACTGTTGTAACATGAGTTTGATTTACCTTTAAATCTCAGCAACATACTACAGATATAGAAGATGGGATATGTGTCCTTGAATTTGTAGCACATTCATTTTTCAGTGTTCGATTTGGATTCAACATCAAACATTTTTGGGAACTTTACAGTCCATTTATTGAAGAATGCTACATGTCAAATCATATTCTTTACTAAGAATTTTATTTCCAGCTCTAACTCTTACCTTAATTGTATTCTTCATCCGAGTGGTTTAAACGCTCTACAATAGAGTGTTCAAGAAAATTTATGTCCATAGCTCTAGATGACTGAAATGAAATCCTTAGTAAGAATTATTATCTTATATCCAACACTCCCTAACAAAATATACAGAAAAATGTTCAAAAATGTTATATAATCCACTTTCATTAGATACTAAACAACGGATGGTTAACATTACACAAATATATGTTATTTAATAGTTTTTTTCTATGTGAAACAAGGTAAAAGTACCTTGAAATCACATTGAAATTAACAGATTGGCCTTAATCAATCTCAGAAAACTTGACAATCTTATAAAATTATTTTACAACTATTAGTTAATTATAGTTCCACATGACTCAATGCAGTAATACCTATGAATTAGTTGCATTGTTGCAATCAATATTCAATGTAAATTAATTTTACCTTATTTAGATTTGTCATAGTGATATAAGTCCCCCAAATAAAGTTATTATTTAATTAAAATGCTTCTATAAAACTTTATTTTTAAAAATAATTAAATTAATTAAAGAGTTATAATTAACCATTTTGTAAAATATGTTTCATCATTTGTTGTAACCAATCACATTTAAATGAACAAGAGATTTATGTATATAAACGATGATGACTAAAAGAAAATTTGTAAAATGGACACCCAAGTTTTAATCTTAGACTCTTATTATTAATTACTATATGCTTTATTATTATATCATCCATCGGTATATTCTGGTCAACAGTCATCATGTTCATCGAGTAACCAGGGTACTTTAAGTTTGTTCTCACATAGGACTGTGAAAGTACGCTGTTAAGTTTTACAACACTAGAGTAAAATGACTGTACTTCTAGACTAATCATCATTTTGTAGTTATTTTCAGGATATATATATTGGGATATTAATATTATCTTTGAATTTCTGTCCTTCTCTAGACTGATAGTGTAGAATAAAATTTTCTTGTATACTAAATTAATCTTTACAAACCATCTATCTAACTGTGGTCTTTATGTTGAACAGGTCGTTAGAACCTGATGATTAACATTCATCAATAATAAAATATACTGACCTAAAGATTATCACAATGATCAGAACTTCCGTCTTTAAAATAGCATTTCTACCCTGACTAGCATCAAAGAAATTTTTGTACTCGTCAAAGGACCTATGAGTCTAGTAAGAAGAATGTATGAAGACCGTTTTTCTTCATATCTTATTACATGAACAGTACTAGATGGGAGACATAAATCATTGGATCTAAACGCAGAATACTTAGACAATATCATCATGTTACCACACACGACGTTTTACACTAATCTTAGGATAATAAATAATTACGTCTAGCCAAATATAAACCAGTATTATGGAAAAGTTTATAGAATAGCCAAGAACGAAGTTTATTGGACCTAACGCTCGTTCTCGATAACTTCCTCATCAACTTCAACAGCTACAAATTCAAAATTAGAATTGCATTATAACAGATAAAACACTAAAGTTGAATTAATCCATATTATGAACTTCTAATGACAAATTTCACATTTATTTAGTCTTAACTACTAGTACTAACTGCTAACGAAATGAAATAACATCGTTGGTAATGTCAAAGAAAGGTCATGCATAAAGGGTATGAAGAATTATATTTAGATGATAAATTTTAATCATTAAGTTAAGATCGGATGTGAAAAGGTTAATTAACAACATGAATCATATCGTAGTTGTGATAATAACAATAATAGTAACATGAAAAAGTATTAATAAGAATATCATGTAAAATGAGAGATACCAAAGCATAATTTAGGACAGAAATAAATGCCTCCAACGGGAGCATTGATTAAAATGAAGTAAAAAGGAAAAAAATTGAACTAAGAATGAAACGACCCTAATTTTTTACAAAGGTAAACAATAAAGTTGAATATAGCTTTCTTTTATTCATAAATTTCTTCTAATTGATCTCAATTGCTTCAGCTATATAGAGTGAGAATAAGCTTGAGCATTTTAATAAATTCCTACAAATCCGATATATCACTAAGAAAGTATCTTCAATTTGTTAGAAAAAAATGGATCTTCAGATAAATTTCGTAACGCTTTTCTTATCTATACTGATACGTGTTTACGAGAGCGCGATGATAAAAGCCAGTTAAATTGATAAACACCAATAAATGAGCATATCATCGGTATATTATCCTTAATTTACTACGCTAGGATTAGTTTCATCTTAAGGTCATATAATTTCTGATACTTTTCTCTAAAATTACCAATGATGTTACTTTATTTTGTTAGCAGTTAGTAGTAGTTAAGACTTATTAAATGTGAAATTTTTCGTTTGAAATTCATAATATGGATTAATTCAACTTTAGTATTTTATCCATTGTAATGCAATTCTAATTTTGAATTTGTAGCTGTTGAAGTTAATGAGGAAGTTATCAAGAACAAGATTCAGTCTAATACATTCCGTTCATAAATATGAAACAATATTTTTTCTTAAGAAAGAAAAATTATGTTTATTTGGTATCATTCAGTTATTCCTAGTTAAATATGAATAATCTTATAAAGTATTTCAGAAGAGGTTTTGTGGATATTTCAATATTTTCATAGTTGAAATCATGAGTCAGTTGAAGCTAGACCACCATGGAAAACTTGGAAGCACTGGACAGCCGTTTCGTTTTATTGTGGGACTCCTCAGCAGTGTGCATCCACGATCTCGCCTCGCGAGATTCGAACCCAGGACCTATCAGTCTCGCGACAGAGCACTTAACTGATAGACCACTGAGCCGACATCCCATGATGTTTATGCCTAACTGCAATCGATCCACGAAGTTGAGCAACCGTTCACCAATTGTCTTCAGTGAGTTTCTATCTCACTAAAGACGTGGTTTGAACTCCACTGGTCACTGCTTCCCTCTAGAACTCCAGGACATGTATCTTGAAGTCAGTCACTAGTGAGCATATGAATATAGATCAGAAGGGGTTTTGTGGATATTTGAGTATTTTCATAGTTGAAATCATGAGTATTTATTTTAAATGTCATCTATTTTCGCTTTTTCTATGTACCATTCTGATGTGAACATTATTGAAATCTAGTGTGTTAAATTGTGATTTTCACAATCAGGTTTTCCAATTTTTATTTTCTTAAAGTACTCTGCATAAATTGATATATTGGTTTGCATAATTCTCTAAATCAAGTAGTTATACACAACTAATTTTCTCCTTCATTCATCACTTTGCTTCAAAACCAAAAATTACATTGTTTTCAATAAAATTTTACTTGATAGAATTAAAAGGTGTTTATAGGTACCAATGCCAAAGTTGGACATGATAGTTTCAAATAAATTGAGCATTGATTGGAAAGTTAATAATAAATATACTTTTATTATATCCCAATCAATATAAAAATTGTATGTCTGACGTTTCGTGACTTGATGTAAGTCACTTCTTCAGAGTAAATAAGTATTCGTTAATAAATGAACACAAGTTTAAACAGTACTGTTTAAAATTTTGTTAATTTAATGTCAGTTATTTATTTACTTTGAAGAAGTGGCTTACATAAGGTTACGGAACGTCAGGAATACAATTTTTCTACTCATTGGGATATAACAAAAATATACTTGTTATTAATTAAAAGATGTATTGTGACCTAACATTTTTACGATTTCTCACTGATAATAATGGAAAATACTCAAAGTACAATTTGTATAAGTAAAATGAGTGAGTGAGCGATATATTTAATAAAAAAAACTTGACACCAGCATATGCTTTCGTTCATAATTTTCAACAAACATGTATCGAACACAATAAGATAATACTAAGTCCTTTAGCTAACATAAATATTTTACTTATTACTGATAAAACTGGCAATGTTACTGGAAGTTTCCGCTGAGAATTAGTTATTACTTATTAACTATCGCACATCATTAAATTTTTCTGAATAAATTGACACAAATCAACTTGATTTATCTGATGAGCTGGCGTCAGTTATCTAAGCATTGAAAAGCAGGAATACCTTTAATATCGAAGACTATTCAGCAGTTTGTATATACGATTACATGGGAGATAAAACCTATTATCTTTTGCTTTCGCCATGAATACAGTATTAACGAGTCATTACCTTTTACACATTGTTAGACATCACTTTTATTTTTCACTAGTGCTACTATTTTATGAGATTAATTGTATTTAGTAATCACAAGATTATCATTTGTAATTGAAAATAGTTTTATCCTATCAACAAAGTAATGCAATGTGAAACATAAAATCATCTCATTTTATCTCAGGACGTATATTATTCTTAACAGGAAACACTAGTTTAAATGTAGTGATTATTAGCTAATAGGTTGTTATCCTTTCTAATAACAATCTAACTTGACTCCTATAACAAATTTAAATGGTGTCATGTTTAATTAATTTACTGTCTTATACATTACTTGAAATAATTTACTATACTAGAATTATTTGTGTTAGCAATGGTGTTTGTACTTCAACAATCAGTAATGGCTAATTTTATGAATCTTTTGTGATTTCAAAAACATGTAACCACATATTTTGATATAAATTCTGCTGTTTATTAATATTTTTATAATCTATAAGACCAATAAATTTATGGCTCACTGTTTATCATATAATGATCATTGTACTTTTATTTGAAAGTGATAGGTAATTATTCAACACTACCTAATGATTATAATTTACTACCGAAATGAAACAACAATAAACTAGAAATTTAAGACCATCAAGGATGAGATTAACAGGTGAAATAAACCAGTTTTGTATATATATATATACATGTTAGTAGATCAAAATACTTGGAAAATTCAAATTCAAACTGATATTGATCATAATGATTATCTATAAATCAATAAACCAATCTAATATGATATATCTTGTAATTTGATTGTTTACATTGAATTCTAATACTTTTTACCATCTAAAAATTTGTCAAAGAAGTTGTTTAATAATTTATGTAATAAAACTCAAAATTAAAATCTACAAGATGACATTGAATAACTTGAGTTTACTTTTAGTGCTAGTTAATATCTGTTATTTATTATATTTTGGGTTAGGGAGTTGAACACTTAAGACTCTCCAGTAATCAGTCAAAAATTATTTTCTTTTAATTAGTTAATGTAATATTTTAATTCAACTTGCTCGAACATCTGGGCTACCTGTTTCTGCCATCTAGATATTTCAACAAGTTATCTAATTTTGTTTGTTTTAATACATAATTATGTCCATTAATCGCATAACCTATTCAGGTCCGTTTCTGAAAAGTGTACTACCTTTCGTTGTACAAGTTACAAAAGGCTCAATCAGAGGTATCGTGGTTGTTGGCAATATGTATGCAGCAAAAAGAATGTACATTACTTAGATGTTGATTGACTGGACTGCTAACTTCTATCTGGCGATCAGTCAATATTTATCGTCAGGATCGACCAAGAAGTAAGGAACGGAAACTTGTTGAAATACTTTGTGCTGTGATTCTATATTGTACCAAAAATATAATATTGAATAAAGCTAGTGATAAAAAAAATAAAAACCGTCTGAGAAATATTTTAAATAAACATCTTGACTAGAATTGTCTATAAAAAAGATGTTTTTAAATTATTATGTTCAAAAATTTAAAGTGTAAGTCTTTAAAAACTGCATCCCCACTGACTGATTCTCAGGCTCACCCTGCATCATCCGACAAATATCCGAACATCTCTCATTAGACTATCGACAGTAAAGGCATCCAAAACATTCTCAATTCTTCTGATCTTTCAATGTTTATTTGTTTTCTCAATTGTTGAATGAAGAAGGCTACAACATTATAAGGGATATCTTGAATCTGAGTTTTCTATTGTTGTGTGCATCGAATTATTCATCTCAATCGGATGCATATGACTGAAATTTGCGAAAGTCCCACATTTTTTTACCACAACATTTGTTACCGTCTTATCAGTTTTCTTATTGTTTAAGTAAATCTATTGATATGTTCAATGTCTAGCAACTCAGAAGTGTAAGTTGATTATGGAGTCAATTACTTATCTACGAGCTATTAAAAACATGATGGACTGTGAATACTAATTGTTTTTAATTTGTAATTAAATGAAAAAAAAAACTAAATTATTTCTCATGATTTTTTTTAAATTTACAATTCAGGAGATGGAATTTTCACACCATCGGAATTGGAAATATTTTTACAATTTCATGAGATAATGCTTTAACTGATCAATTCACTTCTTAACAAACCGGTGTGTAACTCAAACAACAAACAGTGATGTTTGGAAAAGAGGTGATTATTTAAAAAGGAACATGAGGAAAAAATAGCAAACGGATTAGATATTTCATGTGGCAATTTTATTTCAAGTACCAATCTCTTTTGCTTTTGCTTACAACAAGACTTCTATCTCAGTTAACTCAATATTAATGCCATTGCAATTACTGTTGTCGTTGTTATACTATTGACTGTTATCACCAAGTACTTCCTTGACCCTGCTTGATTGTGAATGTGTTGTTATTTGGTCAAATAAATGTGGTGAAAATAAAGACTAGATGTAATGAGTTTTAACTTCGAATATCTGCAAAATGGAATCATTTAGCGACTGGCGAAGTTCCATCATAATAAGAAAGTAATGATGTGTTGTAGTGTATAAAACACTAGTTGGGGACAATGGAATGTAGTTAGACACAAATTACAGACTATCTCACTAAATTCTGTTAACCATACAGCAAACAGTTAATTTGCAAATTAACAACCAATCGTTTCAATCTTCACTGTTCCTTCTGTAATTATCAGTTCATCTTCTCTAATTCCATTGTTTATGCGCTTTCCTACCAATCGCGCTCCATTTCAGTTCTTTCCTTATCGGTCTTCTGTCAAAATACATCCTATATCTGACCAACGCCATATACTACTTACATAGATATAAGTAGACCACACTAAAATGTGAATCCTCATAGAGGTTTATATGGTTCTTGTCAGTATATTATCATACTGATTACACAAATTTATAATTGAATTTGTTATACAACCTACTGATAGTTAATTGATAATGTTAGTGCTGAATATGCTTTAAGTATGAATGAGCTAAATTTTTAACTAGAAACAAATTTGTCAACTATGTCACTGTGTTGCTTTGAAAGTTGGTAAGAAGTCACCATAATTTGGTTGCATTTTCATTTATGAATAATTTTTCATATGCAATCGAACTAACTCATGGAAAAATACTACTTCTTCGTGTAATCAATGGAGTTAGGCAAGAAATTCTATTTTAACCCTAGCCAAAAGTTTATGATAGACTATGGCAAAAAATCTGCTCCAGCCAAAATGAAGTAAAAATATGGTCAAAGAGAATGATGCCGACGGTATATCAAATATAAGAATAGGAAGTGACAAAGATTAATGCCCGTAATGAGATACGACCGAGCTAAATCTCGTTTATTCGAAAAGTATATTATATTGTGCATTGTACTAGGAAATATGAAAATATTCAGGATCTTCACATGTTGCTTTTCTGATACATTATTAGAACAATTGAGTTGCACTAGCCCTTAGATTTTGATCTAGACCGTTGTATTGGGCAAATGCATATGACTGTTCATAGATATCTTCTACTCTACATCTCTTCATAGAAGACGACAGTAAACCATATGTGGTGTAAAAGCAGCTAAGACGCCTCAGACGTGTTTCAGTTCTAAACACCAACGTTAAGTAATCAGACTTCTGAATTATTTGTATTGTCTTTGCACGAATGTGGGCACTTCTTAGAAGACGATAATTGAATGTATTCAGCTTTGATGCGTTAAGTTTCACATTATTTAAAACTGCTCACATCGAAGTATTTGGTACCTGGTCTTCTAAAGACAGACTAGCATAAGACGTCATCACTTTTGTAATGCATATATCGATCTCACTTGCTGAACCACCACTAGCACTCGTACCTGCATAAATGCAAAAATATCTCTACTAACACTTTGAAGAAGACGAAATGAAATAACTATATGCATTCCAACCGCTATTTTGGAATAAAAGGGAGGATATCGAGTTTTCGAATCTACCTGAAATATCTCATATAAAAAGCATCTTCCAAAAATTATCTATACGCTTAAAACGACGAATTTTCCAACCAATTAAATATTAGTGACCAAGTCGTGGTTGATTTCTATAACTTAGATAATGCACAGGATGCGCAAACAAGTACTTTGACAAATACTCCAAGACTTGATGAGCCACTATTAATAATATACCCAATTTGCAGCACTGTTTATGGATTTCAAAAATTATTTTTGAAATATGTTTTTAATACTAGCTACTAGCTAGAACTCATGTAACCATTTCCATAAAAATGACTCAATTCACCTAATATATACTCATTAGGTTTATCCTTCAGACTTTGTGTCATAACTATTAGGATGGAGAATTTGAAGTATAATTTGGATGTAATAAGTAACTAACATTTTTATGAAATACTTAACCGTTAGAATAAACATATAGACATTACTGACAGTTATGAGTAGGTCACCTTTGCTCAATTATCGATTGTGTATAGTTTAAAGAACACATTCCAAAGATTTCATTAGTAAAAATCGTAAATTTACCTCATTTCAAAAATAAATAAAAACAAAAATTAGGTTAACAACAGTAGTATAACGCGGTGACTACTTCTTGTGTTATTGATGGAAATCTAAAGTATACTTGTTTTTAGTCTACTTATGCAGATAGTTAAAATTAATGTCTATCGTTAAACGACAACATAATCAGAAAATTTTCATGCAATTTTATACTTACATTCCCTATTAAATAAATAACTCCACAACTATAGACGACAACTCACCGCGGTGGTCAGGCTTGCTTATTGTGGCCAGATAGAGCTATATTGGTTGAAACACTTATTCCTATGGGTCCTACTATGTCAGGCAGGTTAGCTGAAGAACGATAAGACTAAGAGCAGTAGCTTATAGATGACAAAGTTAGGCCGCTGGCTGTCCTGGAATGTAATGGTAGTAGTTCCTCCCAGGCAAAAAGCATCCACAAAGACGCTGACTTCTCATAATGGAAAGAAGAGGTTAGAAAAGGCTGACCGTGAAAATAGCGCATCTCGCGTTACCCTATAGATTACCGATGGCAGTAATAGTTCCAAGGTATGGGGCTAGAACATCTGAGACTTCCCACAAAAACAACCATGTGTCCAGGAATAAGCAGTTGTTCGTTGAAAAGGGCCGCCACGCTCCCAGATCGTCAAGACCACTCTTAAACTGTTTCCGTTTCAGATACCTGTTAAGGAGTATCAACCGTTGTGAACAACTAGGAAATGAAAGCGTTTCTCATACCTCAAACAGCACTCTAGATCACTTTGTTGATCATTAAACCCCATTTCCATTGCGCGATAATTCTTCTTGCATATTTTCAATCAGTGCAACAAAAGAATACTTCGGAGAAGAGTATTTCCGTTGTAACGTTCATTAATCTTATGATCGCAAAGAGTAAAAAATAAAACCTTTCTTTTAAACTGTTGAAGTGAACATGCATTGACTATCTACAATAATCACATTGCTCACACTTTAACATATTCATGTTTACCTTGCTTCATAACTAAACCTTTTGTGTCGTTGTAGATGTATTTTGGAACCATTTAAAAATGAAACTGCTAACTCTGAATTAATACAAATGGATCTAGTTAACATGTTATCCGACGAAACTCCAACTGTTGTATGTTAGGTCTACCCATATTTTGCAATTTTGTTATCATTATCGAAAAATCGTCCAGTTAGTAAAGGAAACTACAATAGTCGGCATTCAAACGCATTTACTAGTGAACAACGGATTGCAATATGTGGTCAAGAGTAAATATGATACGTTTCAAGTATCATAGTTTAATCACTTTTAACACAAAAGATATGGTGAAAATTGCTAGCTGCTTGATTGAGTTATTATTGTTCCATAAACGGTACATGGATTGTGTGCAAATAATAAATATAACAATTCTGAGATTGTAAAAATAACTTAAACTTGAAAAAAATAATCAAGAAACTTATTTACACTAGATGTCGTGAAAAACAAGCTAACGACAAGTAGACTTACTTAGTTACGCTTGTTACTCCCAATAGAGCATAGGCCGCCGACCGACCTTCTCCAACCCACTCTGTCCTGGGCCTTCTTTTCCAGTTTTACCCAACTCTTGTTCATTCTTCTCATGTCTTACTCCATTTATCAGCGCAATGTGTTCTTTGGTCTTCCTCTTTTACTTTGGTCTTCAGGGCTTGTTTCGTGACACAATTGGGTGATTTCCTCAATGTGTGTCCCATCCACATCCAGCGCTTCTTCCTGATTTCTTCCTCCTCTGGAATCTGGTTTGTTGTTTCCCACAGTAACTTGTTGCTGATAGTATCTGGCCAACAGATCCGAAGTATCTTGCGTAGACAACTGTTAATAAACACTTGTATCTTTTGGATAATGGCTTTCGTAGTTCTCCACGTCTCCACCCCGTACAATAGAACTGTCTTGACATTTGTATTGAAAATTCTAACCTTGGTGTTGGTTGACAATTGTTTTGAGCTCCAGATGTTCTTCAGTTGTAAATATGCTGCTCTTGCTTTGCCGATCCTCGCCCTCACATCTGCATCTGATCCACCGTGTTCATCAATGATGCTGCCCAGATATGTAAAGGTTTCCACATCCTCCAAAGCTTCTCTGTCAAGTGTAATTTCATTGGTGTATATTGTATTGTATCGGAGAGTCTTGCTTTTCTCTTTGTTTATATTGAGACCTACTGCTGCTGCTACACTGGTCGCCTTCTCTTGCATTTGTTGTTGCGTTTGTGATAGAAGAGCCAGATCATCCACGAAGTCTAAATCGTCAAGCTGCATCCACTGTCCACTGTATCCCGTGTTTTCCTCCATATGTTGACGTCTTCATGATCCAGTCGATCACCAGGAGAAAGAGAAAGGATGAGAGTAAGCAACCTCGTCTAACACCGGTCTTTACTTCAAACGATTCGGTGAGTTGTCCTCCGTGGACGATTTGGCAGTTTAGTCCATCACAGGAGTTCCGTATGATATTGACTATCTTCTCAGGCACGCCGTAGTGTCGAAGAAGCCTCCATTGTGTTGTCCTGTCCACGCTATCAAATGCTTTCTCGTAGTCAATGAAGTTGATGTAGAGTGATGAGTTCCATTCGATTGATTGTTCCACAATGATACGTAGAGTTGCGATTTGATCTGTGCACAATCTATCCTTACAAAATCCAGCTTGTTGATCTCGAAGTTGGGCGTCCACGAAGTCCTTCATCCTGTTTAACAATACTCTGTTGAAGACTTTTCCTGGTATTGAGAGAAGAGTGATGCCCCTGTAGTTGTCGCACTTTCTGAGATCGCCTTTCTTTGGTATCTTGATCAGGTATCCTTTTTTCCAGTTTGTTGGTACTTGTTCTTCGTCCCAAATCTTACTGAAGAGGATGTGGAGTATCTTGGCAGTTGCTGCTACATTTGCTTTCAGTGCCTCTGCCGGGATGTTGTCTGGTCCCGCTGCTTTGCCACTCTTGACTTGTCTAATGGCCATGCTGATCTCTTCAATTGTTGGTGGGCCAAGACCGAGTGGGAGGTCCACGACAAGTACATAGAATCTAATAATATTCTCCCGTTGTAAACCAGGAATATTTTTAGTGAGAATTATCAAATGTTACATAAATCCAAATAAAGTCAATGTTCATTATCAACGGACGCCAAATGGGATGTTTACTCAGGTTTTTTCGTGGATACCCCCCACCCTCGACTTGATAAACCGTTGATGAAGAGAATTTACTACAACGATTACAATAATGGTAGCCTAAAAATCTTAATCTTATTTATATGCTTGGTAGCTAAACAATTAACACAATTGTAAGCAATAAAAGCAACTTGTTAATGGATAAACGTTGCTATTCACATGATAGAATACATGAAATGTGAATATAAACTGGTAATTAATACAGATCTAAGTCGTTTAGTATCAAATTTTATCAAGGTTACACATATCATACAAACCGGACATTCAAAAATAAATCTCATTACAATTATTATAGTTTTGAAAATCTCTTGTGGCAGATACAGAACTTTCTTTCAACTGCTCAAAATTGAAGAAAAGAACAATGAATTAAAACCTTGTTTGAACGAATCACATTTCTGCTTAATAATACACGATCACAATATAATATAAATATGTACACTTGTTTACAATGAGGTGTTTTTACGACGTGATTAGTAATGAGACTTTTTATGTTTTTTCTTGGACTTTGTTGAATGATGATCGTCCCGATCTCTTGGGTCCTCACGATCATAAGAATCACATCTAGAAGTTGGTGACCTCCTTGGAGATCTGTCAGAGATTCGATTACGCGTAAATGCATAAGCGGCTGGTGGTGAACGATGACGCCTTTTACGAGCCTACAAACGAGGTAAAAATTTGTGCATTACAATAGCGTTGTTATAAATGAACAAATTTAAACAATAACAAAATGTATTGGTGTATCATTACATCGTTATAGCGGAAAAACTCTTGACTAGTAGAGTATTCACATATTTAAAAGTCAAAAGTATTAACATACTTTGTTTTCGATTTCCAAAGCTTCTCGGCGACGTTTCATGTTAGCAACTACAGCATGAGCAACAGCTGCAGGGACTGAATCAGGAGCTGGTGGAGGTGACGAACGATACCGATCAGACGTCGTTGATGTGGTACTAACTGTCGAAGATTTGGGGACAGTTGTACTGGTATTTATACTTCCTTTTGTGATAGAATTAGTTAACTTCAACTGGGTAACCAATTGGGCAGCTTTTTTACGTCTTTCTTCACGCAGACGCTCTTCTTTAGCTGTAGGGACCGCAACCTGATAACCATCGGCAGAGAAGTCTAGAAGACTTGTAGGTTCGTGTATATCTATCATTTGGAGAAAGTGGACAATATGACAATTCAGCAAACCTGCTTGTAAAGTACGTTACATCAAAACTAAAAAATATGCTTTAATGAAATTAAATAACGGAAACTTATTGTATACAAATATATATCAAAAACAAGGACTGTGTTTACCTAATAAATCTTCAAGAGCACATGAAGGCCAGTTGGAAGTCAAATGTGAACTTGAATTAGATATCGACTCCACAGGAGAACACGAGTTATTATCATAGGGTGAAGTGGTGTTACAGACAGACTGAACAGGAGACTGAATGTTATGCACTGGTTTATTTCTCTCATGTCGCTCAACGGATATGGAGGGTGATGTACAAACAGAATTCGAATTCGAAGCTCCACTAGAACGATTTGCGTAAGAGTATGGACTTTCTACTTGAGGTGGAGAAGATTCCGAAGAAGACGATGAGCTAGGACTGGGAATACCAGGTATGACACACATTTTTGGAGATCGAGTTTTTCTCTTCCGTGATTTCGACTGACTGTCACTTTTCGAACGACTCAATGACTTATTAAGTTGTTCGTTAGTTCGTCTTGCACTTTTGGAAACAGATTCTGAGTACTCTAGTGCAGCGGCTTCAATTATGTCCATAATTTCTCCCGCCGAAGTTTCTGTATTTTGAGTGGACTGAGACTTTGATGTAATCGGGCGGGCTAATCGAAAACTGATACCCGTTTGACGTTCTGAATTATAAGTTTCAAAATCATCTTTCTTGTCTTTATGAGAATCAAGAGACTGAGGATTTTCTACAAAAGAAATGTTATAATGAATTATATAGAAATATATAACACAAGTGTGAACTCATATCCTGAAAAAAACTGTAAATAGAGCAACTCAGTGGAAATGACTTTGAATTAGCTAGATTGCCTATTGTGGAAATAGGCAACTGATTATATATATATAGACGTGGAAGCCATAAAAAGTGAAATTAACGTTTAACTTCAAATATATAACGGTTTGGTACATTAGCTAATTTGTTGGTTGACTGCTAACAATATTGCAATAAATTCTTACATCCGTGAGACGTAACAGAAATGTTTCAGCTGAGAAAAACATTAAAACATTGCGAAATAATGCATTATTTTACAATATAAATTATCGAAACAGGACACTGTAGCATTATAAAAAACTCTTGTCTCTCAAGCACTACAGTACAATCTCAATTTTCTAAATTGGCAATTTGAGAAACTAAAGAAAAGCTTAGTTAAATCTGCATCAATACTAAGCTAAACTGCTCTATAAATACCCGAGTATGACCCATTGTGTTTTCGATGACAGCAACGGTAAACGTATTATTCAGCACTTATTTATAGTAAGTATTCGTAAGACTAACTAAACTGGAGTTTATGTATATCTCCTCCTATGATAGTAAATCCATTGACCACAAAGCACGTTGCATAATCGAGTTCAAGACTTTGAAATATTCGCTGCATAACAATAGGAACTCTATTAGTAATAAACGCTTGGACATATTCAAAACTCATGTTGTAGTCAGAATGGTCGAAAGAGATTTGGATTAAGTAATTCAATCACGAGAAACTATAATTACAAGCTATTTAAAAAAGATGTTTCTTTCATTTTTATGATGCAAAAAGTTGAACAAGTGATTGGGCCAAAAAAAATTTTTTAAATTGAGAACTTCTGAATGTTCAAAAAGGTTTGTGCTATGTTTACAGAGAAATGAATCATATTTATCCTCTAAACTACTTACTAAGAGAACCACCTTTTACTTTATTATCTTGAAACATTGTTTCAGGCTTTTCAATTGAATCCAATTTTTTTGACGAGCTTACTTTAGATGATTTTGGAGAAATATTACTAAAATTAGAATCGGCAGCTTTAGTCAAGCTATCATCAGGATCTAGTTCTTTCCGTTTAGACATGTAATATGAATGTAAAGGATGATCTGATTTTAGAAATCCAAATCGTGGGTCTTTGCTTTTTTGACGAATGACCAATTCTTCAAATTCTAAGCCATTACGAACAACATATTCTGCCATTTTATTTATAATACCACGTTGTTCATCACTAAGTGGAGGCCTGCAAAGAATATCAAAACAGCAATGCCGTAGTTATAGGATACAAAAACAATTTGATATATATATATATATATATATATATATATATATATATATATATATATATATATAATTACTCATCGCTTTTACACATACCATGATTATGTATAAACTTGAAAAGCTAATGTAAGACACTGACGTTATTTTCAGAGTTTTTCAAAGCCGATATCAGTCGGATCATACCTGTAAATCGGCGGGCATTCGGCAATTATCCCCGGAAAGTAGTTCATTTATTTATAATATCGCATAAAATTTTTTATATTGATGCTGAATTTCACCGTAATTTTCTAATGCTAAACTATAGTCTTGTGAACGTGAATTACTTCTAATATACATTGCAATACTGAAGAAATGAGTTAGGAAATATTTCAGTCAACCGTAAAACTGTACGGTGTGTTGGCGATCGACGACACATCATCATACGAGTCACGTACCTCAGAATAAATACTCACAGTAATCTTGTTTACTTTCTTATTATCCTTCAACAAATAATAACGTGAAAAGATCGACAAGTGATAATCTTTAGGTTTCCTCGAAATATTGCCTATGTTTGGTAGATTTATCTAGATAGAAATATTGGAATAACACTGCTCAAATTATAAAAGATAATTTAGTTGATAGAGTGATGAATCTGAATCAACTAAATTAATTACGCTGGTACATACGACGAAATAGAATCTATTCGGAATAGCTAGTGTGGTTAAGAAAACTCATTGTGACATGTGACTGATCAGCAGAGTAAGTGGCATAAGACGTAAGTAAATTGCTGAGTTTACAGTTAAAAGCTACCAGATCCTAGACAACAATGCTTAGAGATCTTCGATGGTATAGTAAGAACCACTATAAAGAAGCAGAACAATTGATCCATTCTCCCTCTAAGAAAAATCGAACACCTAGTTGTTCTGTAGTTATCTGTATCCTGTATAAGTACGCCATATATTCGATCAATTTTAGGTTTTTTGAGTCTGTTGATGGTATATTTGTGGAGTTAAAACGTATGAGATCTTGAACTCAGTCACCACTGAGCGAGGTTGGATACTATGCAGTTTGTTTATCTTTCTCTCTTACAATACTTGGGAAAAACTGCTTTACTATTGGAGAAGGAAAGAATATATGAACTTACTATAAACCTGAAGCACTAACAAGATTATATATATAATATAGCATAAAGCTATCAGGACATTAACACGATGAAGAAAAATGAATCAAATACAGCTGAAAAATATTTAGCTATAGTGAATGATCTTAACAAAAAAATATCAGAGCTAGCAAGTACATTATGAATTATGAGTGTATATTACTGTTTCCACGATTACTGCTGATTAAAATGACAATATTATTAATAATAGCAAAAGAAAAACTCACTCGAACATTACTGGAGCACTAGCTTTTAAACGTGTTTGTTGGACAACATTGACTGCAGCCGCAGCTGCTATAGCGGCTGCCTTAGCTGCTTCTTGTACGATATTGAAACTTTCATCGTTGACATGTTCAGGCAAAGCCCACTGGTTAGAATAATGTGTGTAATAATGAGCATAGTAGTGTTTATAATACTCCTGGTAAATACGCTCATACTCTTCTGGAGATAAAGGATCTACTAATTCTGAAATCATATTGTCTTTCCCGAAGACTGGAACGTCAGCAAGGCTTTCGCTAGTTGTGGAAACGTCGGCTTGAACTTCAGATTGTGGTGAAGGAGTTTTTGTCTTTTCTGAATCCAAAGGTCTAATACTGTCTTTTAGGATTTCCGAAGAGCTATTGTCGATCTCACTAGGATCGTAAAGAGGACGTTCTGTTTCTGTCAATGCCTCAGGAGTAGCGACAGAAGACTGGACATCAGAAATAGGGATAACACGATTTGCAGCTGCGACAGCTGCAGCCCTATGATGGTACAATAAATATCAAAACTTAAGCAGTTTTTTTAAGTAAATTTGAAAACATTCCTCTTTTATGCACAATACAAAATAACCAGAATTGAGCGGCAGCTCGAATCTGAACAAATTTCAAAAGCCATGAATACATCGGTTACTGTCAGGACTATCATTGCTGTTACGTTGGTTTATAACTAGTCCATTAAAATTCAAAATTCTGACTACTAAAAGGAAACAGAAGCCTAGCAACATTTAATGGTAATAAAGCTGTAACTTCAAACAAGACGATAGCACAGAAGAGAACATTAAACATACAGCGAGTAATAAATCTATGAAGACATAAGCTGAATGTGTTTAATAAACTAAACGATGAATCTTGAAACGTTAAGTCGTACTACAACAGAATGAATACACAATTTTGCGCAACTACCATGTGATAGGTAAATTATAAGACGCTTGTGAACGACCATAAACGATACTTACATCTGAGTTTCCAAAATGTTGTGAAGACTGATAGCTGAGAACAGTCAGACACAAACGCGTATTTCACTAAAGCACTTCTCTGTTATAATTATGTTAAATTCCGCAAAAGACACAACTATACGAAGATGTATCAACCAACCCCTAATCAAACATTTAAATATATCAACCGAATGTTACAAACGTACTGTAGAAATTTAAATCTCATGTCTGATCGCATCATTATCACCCAAATACTTATAAACGAATTAGGCTTCCGAACAAATGTGCATCAGCTTGAGATGCTGAATTTTATAAAAGCAGGGTACCATGAAATCAACGAAATCAAAGTAATACTATTGACAGTAAAAAACAACCTATGTAGAGTTAAGATCGGGAAGAATAAATAAATTTCAAGGGTTCAAATGTATGGGAAATTATTAAGACTTGGAATTTCACGAAACTTAAGGAACGGATGGTGCATTTGCATTATTAAGACCAATTTTAAGCCAACATCCAATTCCTCTAATCATAGATTAGGATCATTTTGTTGAACTCAGTTCCAAATTTTCTATCTTTAACATACAATAACCCTATGAAATGGGCTTTTTTAATCCATTTGTGCTAGGTAGCACATTACACAGGGGTCTCAATCACCTCAGTCAATAAACGTGCATATCCTCATCAGCTGACTTACAATTGCCATGTTGTAACCTATTTCCAACCTCTGCATAAATCATTTGACGGTTTCACCAGGTTGCAATATAATCTGTAAAATCAGAGTGAATTATTTGAATATTTTTGCGTATGCAGTACCTTTACTTGAACACTGTAAATACTCCCCATGGTTAAGCCACCAACTAATGCTACCTATACCAATGGTTCTATATCTGTCATTAGAAGAAATCCGAGGTATATTTTTTAAAGATGTCTAAAACAAATTTGCTATTTAGTAATCTGGATTTCTATGACTTGACCGAGTAAGCAGAGAAATAAAAGCAATCACTTGTGATATGAAACAAGAATCCAAATAATTGGGAGAAATCAGGTAAGTTCATGGTGAATTTAAAACATTGCTTTGTATAGACAAAATAATTTAGTAGACTACAATCCACAATAACAACAACCAAAGTAACAACATTCTTTAAAAGGAAGTTTGTATTTTAGTTCAAATCCGAAAATAGTAGCATCACTGGACTTACAATTCATTAATTTTCTTGAACTTCGATATTAGTGGAGCATATGATGTATTTGAAATATCCACCTTTGGTAGCTTCAATTCGTAAACATCTTCATGGATTGACTGAAAACAACGGAAGAAAAATGAAGGTATGTATTATCTTAACAATGAACATTTACACATAACAGAGTCAGTCAGTCACACAGTAGAACTTCGTACGTATGTACATCTGTTCCAGTTGTCGCACCACATTAACATAGAGATGCAGTTGTCGATTCAAATCCCATAGTGGTAGAAGTAGTGAGAGTATAAGCATTATGTGAAAGAATAGGGTTCGAAGATGTTATTGAAGGAGTATAATCCAATGAAATAAACTTGGAAAGAGAAGATAGGGAACTCCGCCTGCAGCTCCTCTGGGGGTTACTGCCGGTCCCAAGCCCGGGTAAAGGAAGAGGGTTGGGCATGGGGTTAGCGACCCCATCCCGTAGAAAATCAACTCGCTAAAAAACACTAACCACAAAAAATCATTCAAACCTTTCAAACTCTGCCCTGGGAGTAAAAGGAATAATTATGACGTCTCATGATGAAAGCCGAGTTCCTTCGAAAGTCATGAGGTCGATGCACCTTCTTACAACCAGAGCGACAATTTTTATAGGTACATGGAATGTCCGGACAATGTGGAAGACCGGAAGAGTCTTCCAAATTGCTGCAGAAATGAGAAAATACAACCTGGAGGTTCTTGGAATCAGCGAAACACATTGGAAGCAGGTTGGACAACAACGACTATCTTCAGGAAAACTTCTGTTATACTCCGGTCATGAAGAAAATGCCCCACATACACAAGGAGTTGCATTGATGCTGTCCAGAAAAGTACAAAATGCACTTATAGGATGGGAATCTCATGGACCAAGGATCATCAAATCCTCCTTCAAAACAAACACAGAGGGCATTAGAATAAACGTCACCCATTGCTATGCGCCTACCAACGACTACGATGAAGACGCTAAAGACCAATTCTACGATAGGCTGCAGTCGATCTTCGAGAAGTGCCGAACAAAGGACCTGACCATTCTGATGGGAGATTTCAATGCCAAGGTTGGAATGGACAACACTGGATACGAAGACGTCATGGGACGACATGGACTGGGAGAAAGGAACGAAAATGGTGAGAGATTTGCAAACCTATGTGCCTTCAATAAACTGGTCATAGGTGGCACCATATTTCCACACAAAAACATACACAAAGGCACTTGGATTTCACCGGATCACACTACACAGAATCAAATCGACCATATCTGCATCAACAAAAAGTTCAGGAGGACGATGGAGGATGTGAGAACCAGAAGAGGAGCTGATATAGCACCCAATCATCATTTGCTGGTCGCCAAGATGAAACTAAAACTCAAGAAGCACTGGACAACATCACAAAAGTTTAGTACGGCCTTTCTTCGAGATGCTGACAAACTCAACAAATTCAGCATAGCCCTCAGCAACAGGTTTCAGGCCTTTCATGATATACTCAATGGAGAGGAAACTACCATGGGGAACAACTGGAGAGGTATCAAAGAGGCAATCGTTTCAACATGTCAGGAGGTTCTGGGCCAAAAGAAGCACCATCACAAGGAATGGATCACTGTTGGTACACTGGATAAAATTGAAGAAAGAAGAAACAAGAAGGCAGGAACCAATATCAGCCGAACAAGAGCGGAAAAAGCCAAGGCACAAGCCGAATACACAGAGGCAAACAAGCAAGTGAAGAGGAGCATCAGAACCGACAAACGTAAATATGTGGAAGATTTAGCGATGACAGCGGAAAAGGCTGCAAGAGAGGGAAACATGAAACATTTGTATGATATAACAAAGAAACTTGCTGGAAATTACCGTAAGCCAGAAAAACCAGTGAAAGCAAGGAAGGCAAAATAATCACCGACATTGAAGAACAAAGAAACAGGTGGGTAGAACACTTCAAAGAACTCTTGAATCGACCAGCTCCACTGAACCCACCCAACATCGAAGCAGCACCCACAGACCTCCCAATCGATATTGGCCCACCAACAATTGAAGAGATCAGCATGGCCATTAGACAAGTCAAGAGTGGCAAAGCAGCGGGACCAGACAACATCCCGGCAGAGGCACTGAAAGCAAATGTAGCAGCAACTGCCAAGATACTCCACATCCTCTTCAGTAAGATTTGGGACGAAGAACAAGTACCAACAAACTGGAAAAAAGGATACCTGATCAAGATACCAAAGAAAGGCGATCTCAGAAAGTGCGACAACTACAGGGGCATCACTCTTCTCTCAATACCAGGAAAAGTCTTCAACAGAGTATTGTTAAACAGGATGAAGGACTTCGTGGACGCCCAACTTCGAGATCAACAAGCTGGATTTTGTAAGGATAGATTGTGCACAGATCAAATCGCAACTCTACGTATCATTGTGGAACAATCAATCGAATGGAACTCATCACTCTACATCAACTTCATTGACTATGAGAAAGCATTTGATAGCGTGGACTTACTTACTTACGCCTGTTACCCCTTGTGGAGGAGCATAGGCCGCTCACCAGCATTCTCCATCCAACTCTGTCCTGAGCCTTCCTTTCCAGTTCTTTCCAGTTACTATTCAGCCTTTTCATATCGGCTTCTATTTCTCGGCGTAGTGTGTTCTTTGGCCTTCCTCTTTTCCGCTTCCCTTCCGGATTCCAAGTTAGGGATTGAGTCGTGATGCACATTGGTGATTTCCTCAATGTATGTCCTATCCAATTCCAACGTCTTTTCCTAATTTCCTCTTCAGCTGGAAGCTGGTTTGTCCTCTCCCATAAAACGCTGTTGCTGACAGTATCCGGCCAGTGGATGTTGAGTATTTTGCGTAGACAACTGTTTATAAATACTTGTACCTTCCTGATGATGGCCGTAGTAGTTCTCCACGTTTCAGCTCCATACAGTAGGACTGTCTTGACGTTCGTATTAAAGATTCTCACCTTGAAATTGGTTGAGAGTTGTTTTGAGTTCCATATGTTCTTCAATTGTAGAAATGCTGCCCTTGCTTTGCCAATCCTCGCCTTTACATCTGCATTCGATCCTCCTTGTTTATCAACGATGCTCCCCAGGTATTTGAATGTTTCCACCTCTTCCAGAGTTTCGCCATCAAGTGTGATTGGGTCGGTGTTCTCCGTGTTGCATTTGAGAATCTTGCTTTTTCCTTTGTGAATGTGGAGGCCTATCGATGCGGAGGCTGCTGCTACATTTACTGTCTTCATCTGCATTTGTTCGTGTGTATGAGAGAGGAGGGCTAGGTCATCTGAGAAGTCCATTGTATTCCGTATTTCCCTTCAGATGTCGAATTCTTCATAATCCAGTCAATCACTAAAAGGAAGAGGAATGGGGAGAGTAGACAGCCTTGTCTGACTCCGGTCCTTACTGGAAATGCATCTGTCAGCTGTCCTCCATGCACCACTTTGCACTGTAGTCCATCGTATGAGTTTTGGATAATGTTGACAATCTTTTCAGGAACTCCATAGTGTCGAAGAAGTTTCCATAATGTTCTCCTGTCCACGCTGTCAAACGCCTTCTCATAGTCAATGAAGTTGACGTATAGTGATGAGTTCCACTCACCTGATTGTTCAGCAATGATCCGTAATGTCGCGATCTGGTCTGTGCACGACCGATCCTTACGGAATCCAGCCTGATGATCCCTAAGTTCGGCGTCTACTGCGTCTTTCATCCGATTTAGCAGCACTCTGTTGAAAACTTTTCCTGGTACTGATAACAAACTGATACCTCTGTTGTTCTCACATTGGCTCAGATCTCCTTTCTTTGGTATCTTGATGAGATATTCTTCTTTCCAGTCCATTGGCACTTGTTCCTCTTCCCAAATCTTCTTGAATAGAAGGTGAAGCATGTTTGCAGTTATCTCAATGTCTGATTTCAGTGCTTCTGCTGGTATATTGTCAGGTCCTGCCGCCTTCCCACTTTTGATCTGTCTGATGGTCATCTTGACTTCTTCGATCGTTGGTGGAGTGACGTCTATAGGAAGGTCAGTGTGTGCTGCTTCGATGTTCGGTGGATTCAATGGGGCTGGTCTATTCAGCAGTTCCTCGAAGTATTCTGCCCATCTTTTCCTCTGTTCTTGAATCTCAGTGATTGTCTTTCCTTCTTTGTCTTTGACTGGTCTCTCTGGTTTGCTATATCTCCCTGCCAATTTCTTCGTTGTATCATATAGTTGTTTCATATTCCCTTCTCTTGCAGCTTTTTCCGCCGTCGTTGCTAGTTCTCCCATGTATTTCTGCTTGTCGGCTTTAATGCTTTTCTTCACTTCCCTGTTTGCTTCTGCGTAGTCTGCTTGTGCTTTGGCGTTCTCTGCTCGTGTTCGGCTGTTGTTAATTGCTAGTTTCTTGTTCTTCCTTTCTTGAATTTTGTCCAGGGTTCCCATAGAGATCCATTCCTTGTGATGATGCTTCTTAGGACCAAGAATCTCCTGACACGTTGAAGTTAGTGCTTCTTTTATCCCTTTCCAGTTGTCCTCCAAAGTAGTTTCTTGTTCTTTCAGTAGATCCTGTAGAGCCTGGAACCTGTTGTTGAGAGTTATCTTGAATTCATGGAGCTTGTCAGTATCTCAAAGGAAGGCTGTATTGAACCTTTGTAGTGCTGTTTGTCCAGTTGTCCAGTGTTTCTTTAGCTTCAATCTCATCTTGGCCACAACCAGGTGGTGATCTGAAGCTATGTCAACTCATCTCCGGGTTCTCACATCTTCCATTGATCTTCGGAATTTTTTGTTGATACAGATGTGATCTATCTGGTTCTCTGTGGTGTGGTCCGGTGATATCCATGTAGCTTTGTGTATGCGTTTATGTGGGAATATTGTGCCGCCTATAACCAATTTGTTGAAGGCACATAGGTTTGCAAGTCTCTCCCCATTTTCATTTCTTTCTCCTAGTCCATGTCGTCCGATTATATCTTCATATCCTGTGTTGTCCACTCCAACTTTAGCATTTAGATCTCCCATCAGGATGGTCAGGTCCTTTCGTGAGCACTTTGCTATAATTGATTGCAGCCTTTCATAGAACTGATCTTTATCATCGTCGTTGCTATCATTGGTGGGTGCATAACATTGGATAACGTTCATTGTGATCCCCTCCTTCTTTGTTCTGAATGATGCTTTGATTATCCTTGGTCCATGAGATTCCCATCCCACAAGTGCATTTCGTGCTTCTTTGGACATCATTAAAGCAACTCCCTGAGTGTGTGGAGCATTTTCCCCTTCGTGACCGGAGTACAGCAGCATCTCTCCTGTACCTAGCCTTTGTTGTCCAGTTTGTGTCCCATGGGTTTCGCTGATTCCGAGTACTGCCAAGTTGTATCTTCTCATTTCCATTGCTATTTGGCTGGTCTTTCCTGTCTCCCACATTGTCCGGACGTTCCATGTACCTATAAAGAGTGTTGCTCTGGTTGTTAGAAGGTTGTTAGAAGGTGCATCGGTCTCGTGACTTCCGAAGAATTTCGGCTTTCTCCATGAGACGTAATTATTCCTTCAACTCCCAGGGCAGTGTTTAAATGGTTTGAATTATTTTTTCTGGTTAGCGTTTTTTAGCGAGTTAGCTTTTCTACGGGATGGGGTCGCTAACCCCATGCCCAACCCTCCTCCTTTACCCGGGCTTGGGACCGGCAGTAACTCTAGAAGAGCTACAAACGGAGTGGACAGGAGCGTGGACAGGACAACACAATGGAGGCTTCTTCGACACTACGGCGTGCCTGAGAAGATAGTCAATATCATACGGAACTCCTGTGATGGACTAAACTGCCAAATCGTCCACGGAGGACAACTCACCGAATCGTTTGAAGTAAAGACCGGTGTTAGACGAGGTTGCTTACTCTCATCCTTTCTCTTTCTCCTGGTGATCGACTGGATCATGAAGACGTCAACATATGGAGGAAAACACGGGATACAGTGGACAGTGGATGCAGCTTGACGATTTAGACTTCGTGGATGATCTGGCTCTTCTATCACAAACGCAACAACAAATGCAAGAGAAGGCGACCAGTGTAGCAGCAGCAGTAGGTCTCAATATAAACAAAGAGAAAAGCAAGACTCTCCGATACAATACAATATGCACCAATGAAATTACACTTGACAGAGAAGCTTTGGAGGATGTGGAAACCTTTACATATCTGGGCAGCATCATTGATGAACACGGTGGATCAGATGCAGATGTGAGGGCGAGGATCGGCAAAGCAAGAGCAGCATATTTACAACTGAAGAACATCTGGAGCTCAAAACAATTGTCAACCAACACCAAGGTTAGAATTTTCAATACAAATGTCAAGACAGTTCTATTGTACGGGGCGGAGACGTGGAGAACTACGAAAGCCATTATCCAGAAGATACAAGTGTTTATTAACAGTTGTCTACGCAAGATACTTCGGATCTGTTGGCCAGATACTATCAGCAACAAGTTACTGTGGGAGACAACAAACCAGATTCCAGAGGAGGAAGAAATCAGGAAGAAGCGCTGGATGTGGATGGGACACACTTTGAGGAAATCACCCAATTGTGTCACAAGACAAGCCCTCACATGGAATCCTGAAGGTCAAAAGAGAAGAGGAAGACCAAAGGACACATTACGCCGAGAAATAGAGACAGATATGAGAAGAATGAACAAGAGTTGGGTAAAACTGGAAAAGAAGGCCCAGGACAGAGTGGGTTGAAGATAGCTGGTCGGCGGCCTATGCTCTATTGGGAGTAACAGGCGTAAGTAAGTAAGTAAGAAAGAAAGAAAGAAAGAAAGAAAGATAGGGACATGAAGAATTCAGAAGATTAGAATTTGGCAGAACACAAAGAGTGGATGCATCTTCGTCATCGCAAACGACTTTGAGCCATGTCATTCAAGGTCTATAACCATCGGTCGCTATAATCTTGCGGATCCCAACCAGGTAGTCTACACCTATTAACATGGCTCAGTCCACTTGTCAGTGACTTCATAAATTTGTGCCACAGAGGTAAGTTCCAAATGCATATTTATTTTATTTATTTATTTGAACACATAAATTATGGTACAAAGGGGCACCGAATACATATGCGCCACACAAATCTCATTTGATTTGTGTGATTTACATAAAACTGCAAAATAATCATGACTGAGTTTAGATAAGCTTTAAACCTGAAGATGCCAGGTGTAACGTGGATAACTACTTACCAACCCAAAGACAGCTTACTTTCCTTATCTAAACTATCCTATTTCTTCTAAAATAATGTAACAGTAATATTTTGAGGACGCATACAACAAATATTTCACACGACAATGTGGGGCTTATTAGATGACACTTGAAACTGACACAAGCAATAAGAATTGAGGCCACATGTAAAAAAGGCCTTACCAAAAAGCAATACTTAACACTACCAAGTGAGGTAAATATAACGATCTGGAAACTCAAAAAACGTGACGCTTACCTTGTTTGACTCATCTGCACTTGTAAAGAGTGTCCCAGCTGGTTTATCTGCAGTCTGGCGAGGTTTCGGAACGTAACGACCTTGGGAAATTAACCTCACAATCTCCTTGTAGAAGGGATTAAGTGGATGGTCATAAGTTAAAAAGCCAAATAATGGATTTTTATTTTGTTTAGCTTTAAGAACTATTTCCATTTGACTTCCTTGTCGAGAGACGAAAACAGCAGTTTTTTCAATAATGTGAGCTTGTTTATCGGATTCCGGAAGTTGGAAATTCGACAAAAGTTGTTGTAGCTCAGGAGGACAATTATATGGCTCTTCAGAGTGCTGTTCAGCTAGTTTAGAAAAAAGAGATTGCTTTGAAACGAAAAATATTTTTTTCATTTAAGTGATGATGCAACATACCACGAAGTGACTATTTACTCTGTTAGCAACCCAACATTGATGAATTTTCGTCAGTTTATACCACCCTTATAGTACGGCAACTAACCAATCAGCCCAACTTAAAATTTACCATTGCAACTGAATGAAAAACTCTGAAAGCAACAATATCAAATAAAATGTTCATGCAACTTAAAGGATTTTTGGCATATATTTGTAAGGTAATCATACCACTCCATTTGTTATTGGTTGACTAGACGTTTAATAGAATGTTAAGCAATGGGAAGTTGATGATAGGATCAGAATAGAATAATGAACTACAGTTTTTGGCAGTTAGTTTGGATCTACAAAATTAAAGGACTAGACAAGATCTGTAACAGGTAGAGAGTAATTATAATGTGGTACACTAGACATTATTGTCTAAGACTTGTCATTCTCTAGGTACGATAATTTGAAAGTTTATTAATCATTTGAAATTGAACCGCCTGTAGAGCCATCCTCATTAGATTATAGACAACAGTATTCAAATAATAAAAAGTAGTTATGTGAATTATTCTCTCATAGGAGTTAACAAATGGGAATAATCCGAGTAATGTTAAATTAAACTGGGAGATAAATTTCATTGACAGACATACATTTCAATTCAACATAAAATACTAATTTCTATAAAATAATTATTTACTTGACCCCTTGTTAACATATGATTCGTCGCCATTTCGTTGGGAAACATTTTCATCGTAAGAAAAGCTAACGGCTCCATAGTCATTGCGAGATCGTTCAGCCTCACGTTTCCGAGCTTCTTCTATAAAACAAAAAACAGAACGAATGATATATATGGGAATGGAAAACATGAGTGTAGGAGTTTGTTTCAAAAAATGACTTATGTTTAATTACATTGAAAGTATGCTTATTCCCATAGCCTCATCAGGCTCGAATTGCATGTCCCACTCCAAAAAACAACCTGCAAGATATAAACAGACGTAAAAGGTGTTAATCTCTGGAGCATAAAATGTGCAGTGGATGCACTAATGAACATAAAAACCGAAACAACGTTAATTTAGTGACAATCACAGCAAATATCAAGTTAAAAGTACTATATTCTGTTGATAAACATAACTTACCACGTAGGACGAAGTTGTCAACATGCGTTTACCAAAGATGTGTTGACTCAAAAGCTAAGATCACATTAACAATCAGCAAGGGTGGTATTGCAGAATACATCAAAACACAAATACAAAAGTAAACTCACCATCTTGAATTGCGAGTTCATGGACGTCCACTTGCATTTCCAAATAACGTTCGAAATCACACATCTTTTCTATTGCAATCTCTTCTTCAGACAATTGATCGTCAGGACTTAAATCGCAATTAGGATCTCCTTCATAAATATCAGTGAGATACCCACGTCCATCGAACCTGAAGGTAGCGAAATAAAAGCCAGTTGGCCACAAAATTGAGATAAAAAGTTATAATTTGGGGAATTAGATCACTGCAGTACTGAAGACTTCATATACATTTTGGGCTACTTAATGGTAATATTGTTAATAGTAAAGTTCAATACGTTTGTCATCCCATCAGGCGAAATAGATAAAACGATAGATAAATTAAACACCAGGCTAGTTTGAAACTAAAGAACATGGAGATCGCTGCACATGCATCGCACGTGGACATCGATTGCATGAAGCTTACAACCATATAAGCTAACCCAAAGTAACACTGAAATTCCTCGATCATTCACTATATCTCATACAAACAATGACTAGAAGACAATCCCCGGGTATTTCAACATATATATTCTGAGTCGATTTGAGAACTTTTAATACTGGTGAATAAGTAAAGTAAAGAAACTGATACAAGTTAATACCTATGATCAACTGTGGAGACAATATGAAAAACTAATCATTTAATAAAACCAAGCAACTAACGGCATGTTCGCATAATAAAGCTTGAGCAACAGTTATTATACAAGGGAGAGATCTCTTGGCTGGTTAAGCCAAAAGTGAATAGAAATATAACGTGGGTGTTAAGGGATCAAAATAAGAATGTAAACCGAGATTTCACTAACCACAGTTTTATAGAAAGATCGATTGTCTCTACAAACACTGACAACTTGAGGCTGTCCTAAATTTGAGCATTGAAAGATAAGAATTTCAACGATGATTCAGGAGTACATAAATATTTTGTTGAAAGACTGGTCAAGTATGCTATACTTTCAATTGCTACATTTATATTTGCCGAGTATTTTGCGGCGATTCAAGCTAACACCCATATAATCATGTCGCTAGTGAATTAGTGCGAGGTTAAGGTATTTTCAGTCAGCTATATAAGACAAGTATGTAATTAGTAGAAACTCACAATGAAAGTTACCCTAAAGTCTAAAAGCTGAGTATACATTAAGATATATACGCACATATTACGCGACAAACTTCCTTAAAATCAAAGACCAAATAATGTTAAAAACCCGATATTATCACAAGCATAGAGCAATCTTCTAAAGTAATAGATAATCAACACACTGAAATATCTACAATACCATATGAATTTAATATTTTGATACTAAGGCTAGAGTTATATATTTCCACTGAGACGTATAATGGTGTGGACAGAATGTAAGTCCAATGGCCCATGATTAGTGGGTTATCTGATATGGTAAATGGTTAAAGAAGAGTATCGTTACATTCAAAACGACATAAGTGGACTTTTTGCACAAGAATTTATGTACATAAAAGTTGAGCAACGAGAGTTCTGAATGTAAGTATGATTGCACTAACTACTACATGAACTGACACCCCAACAGCTTGACCGACAATAGAATTCCAACCATAGTCAGTCACAAGCAATGCAAAGCAATGAACAAAAGTGAAGAGGCGGAGATTGAAAATCCAAGATAATACTGAAGCTGCGAAAACCGGTTAAGTAGTAGTAAAAGAAACACTGACAACCTGAACTACGGCTGAAAATCTCGCCTTTTATAAATTAAAGCAATGCTTATGTTTAATAAATTTTAATGTAGGGTGAAAAACAATATTTCGAAGACCATCGTCTCGTCTCAGATGTCGTCATTCAGTCTCTTTGTAAGCGAAGATGGGCGTGGTTTTATTGTTACGAAATACGTCGAAATACAAAAACAAGTTTTATGACTACTCAGACGAGCACAGAATGATGGCAAGAACGAGGTACAGCAGTTAAAGTGTGAGACAAACTACGTCCAAAGAAAGGAAAACTTTACCTCGCCACCTGAAAAACAAATCACGATGCACAACTACATAATCATTAACAAATTATACGAATAATTTTACGAAATAACAGAGCCTGACCTATCAATCAAAATTGATGTGTCACCACACCATGGTATCAGTAGTTTTTCTCCATCAACTTCACAAGCTTTTTCCCGATCATCAAACAAGGTACAGCTTGTACCTTCTACCACAAACTGTTTCTCTTCGCTATAGTCACTCATCTTAGTCAGAGGTCAAACTTCGCGCTGTGGTTTCTCCATACAATGTTAAAAAAATCAAAATGACTTCAAATGTTTCCGGTTGGAATAGATGGAACTTTAGATTGAGGGGCTTCCGTTTTCAGTAGCGATGGATCACTGATGCCTCTAGGTAGGAACCTGATTATATTTAACGATAAAAGAGAAAAATTACTGTCCTAAAGAATATGTCAGGTACTCTCTTAAAGCACTCCTGTAGGATCTCTTGAACTGGCTCAGCAGTCAGCGAATTCTGGACTTCTACTACTCTTAAGGGGTAGAAGGTGTGCCTACAGTCCGCTCTGCTACTGTGTCTCCACTTAATGGGTGTTATCTCCAAGGTTTGTGTTTGGTGGGCTTAAGTAGGTATTTGGGAGGTCCCCATGAGTGTTCTGCATGCTGTTAGTCTGTAGAAGGTCTCCTCGGAGACGCATATGCCCTAACAGGTAAATGTTCAGTGATTTTGTACCCCCTTCATATGGAGTGAATTCAAGCCCTCTAACTGATTTCGTAGCTAGCCGTTGAATACGTTCCAATGTATCCTTGTCCTATTGAAGTAAGGGAGGAAACATTATGCTTCCACACTCTAAATGGAGTGGAATAAAACGGTTGGAGATTAAGTGGAAAGTTCTGCCGTCGAACAGGCCAAAAAATGCGCTTCAGTATCACCAGGGTAAGGTTTACCCGAAAGGCATTTTTGTCACAGTTAACGTAAGACTTCGAGGAGTTATTTATGTTGAATTCATGGTCTGTTAAATGTCTCAGGCGGACTGCCTCACACTTTAAAGTGTTAAATATAATTTTATTGTAGTCCACCCAACTTCGAAGTCGAGCCAGATTCTTCTAAAGTCCCAGCCTATCATCTTGGTTGAGAACTCATTGTAGTCTCACAACGTCAGCGAAGAGTCATATATCAGACGATACTCTCTGGGGAGCGTCGTTTTTATAAATTATGAAAATGAGAGGTCCTAGTACTGAACCCTGAGGACCTCATCAGGACATTCCGTAGCCCGAAAGGAATTGAAGTTTATCCTGACCTTAAAAAGTCGACTATTTAGATATGAAGTAAGTCAAGTCATCAGGAGTGACTTGATATCAACAACTGACATTACTTTATCCAGAATAGTTTTTATGGAACTATTGTCACCTCGAATTGTTAACACACGATATTTAACTATTATTTCCATAAGTAGGAAAGCCGAGTATACACTTTGAAGCTAAGTATGATCCTATAGCATAGCTATAGCTTCTCATCCTCACAATGTCCGGAGAGATGTGTCCCCTAAGATGTTCGATGTTGCCACTGAAGGTAATGGTTGAATTGAATGGCGATTGAATTGCGAAAACTCTAGTTCTGCAACATATTGTTCTCTAACGGCTGACTTACTACACACCTAGGAATCACATAATCGCGAACAACCTAATGTCACCCATAAGCTCGTGGTTTGGAAAGACGATTTCACTGAAAATTAAAGCCTCATATTTCTTCTGTACACGCTGTTGTTCATGTCAAACATTCAGTACACTGGAAGGGGTAAAGGTGGTGTCGCCAAAGCACTATCATAATTTTGTAACAACACTATCATAAAGATATTTCAGTATTAACGGTTGCAGGGAAATTTATGAAACATCGGATCGCTAATATTAGAGTTCCGCCACAACTGCTAATTTAGAAATTCACAATTCGATCGTCTTCCCTTTTAGCAACTAACACTATTGCAGACATCTAGTGAATACAAACTGCAGCTTAATACCATGACGCAAATAAGAGGATGATTGCAGTGACAACTAAAAGCCTCTATGACAGGCAACGGAACATACTACAAATAGGACCTGAAGCTCCATCTAATATTACTAGACACTCATGCAACCCTCAGGCAAGCCATCGGTTTTTAAGCAGTGGACTTGGTATATGGAACAAAAATCTGTTCACCGGGTGAATTCTGTGACCGCACCAAGGCCGTTCCGGAGAACATAGCCGACTACGTAGAGCGGTTAGAGCTAGAAATGTAGTCGATAACATTTATCTCTTTACGAGCTCATAAAGCGAAACCGTTCGAGCACAGAGAGTTGTACGACCGAACACGCGTTTTCAAGGCGGATGAGGTGTTGAACTACTTATTTTGACTGGTTGTGCTAACATCCCGTTTTCTGGCGCCAGTATCACCATGTTGTGACCCCGTTCGTGGTTGTGTCGTGTGAGACCTGCAATTCGCAGTTTGGATCAACAGTCAGTTAGAATATCCAACGAAAGTATGAAGATATGTACTCTTATTATTGCTGTTTAGATACTAGTAATTGACATCGTGTCGGTATTGTTTTAGCAGTGAATAAACGGATTCCTATACCGCTGCCCCTTCACCAGTTCTAGTTTGGCAACTGAAGATATTTAGTTACACTGTATTCCATCCTTAATGAGGACGTCCACATTTCTACTGCAACACATACTTTCACTTAAAGTAATTGATTACAGTATCTATTGAAGACTTCCGATAACGATCTTTTTGAAATCATGAGGAAAAATGACAATCCAGCCACTATAGAGAGGTCTGAAAAGGATGATACTGTCAACCTCGGTCTATTGAAACCAGCATCCTTAGAGAGTACAGAACGAAAACCAGCGACATAATTGTATAAATATGCAGTGGGACCGGAATTGGATAAGAATCTTACAGCAAGTAAAATCCACACCATTGTAGTGCCGTGCTTCGATAATAGTTCATTTCGATAACCGTTATTATACCAATCTTAACGGTGTATAAAATCAGAAGGCAAAAGGAAGCGGCAACTACATTTTTATTGATAATCGATGCAGACCAGAAAGTTGTGGGCACATGAGCAAGTTTAAGCGAGCGAAGCAAAGATGACGCATAGTGGAGTTGGCTGGGAAGCCAACTCGAGAGCGAAGCGAAAGATAATGCGTATTGAAGCCAACTCGATATGAGCAAGCATTACTCAATATTTATAATCAGACAAAAATGAATGACAGACGTATGATGAATAGGATACGAAGTATACACATATACGCTCATATAAAAATATAGTCAAGGTTAATAAGTGAATAATTAACAAGATCGAAATATGACTCATAACGTTATAGGTGAATTGGCTTGACCAGTAGCTAGAATAAAGTATATGGGCTTAACATAACAACCGATACTACACCATATCTCAACAATAGCAGTAACTCCAGTCAGAACTGGGAACATAGTCCACCGAGATGACAGATACGTTGAGACCACCACACTTGTCTGATTCACTTATTCATTTCTTCCACGTCTACAATCCTTCACCCCAATGATTTCTGGATCATTTATTCCAGTACATGGAGTTCAACTGTTAAATATTCATGCTTTTTGGCATAATTACACATCAACTGTCTCTGGTACATTTTCAAAAATAGACGTAAAGAAATACATAAATGCTGAGCAAGAGTGCTCCTATGGCAAGCCTACCATTACTTTTTATTTGCATGACCTATTTTGCCAGATCGCATAAGAGAGGTTAAGAAATACATACTGTTTTTTCATCATCTGCTTGGTGCATTTTAGATGTTCGATCCATTATGTATATGAGTGAGTCAGTTTGATTGAACGCATTTCCATATCCTAATTTTTACCTATCATCCCACTGGTTTTTTAGTACTTACAACATACTCATTCATACGCATACATTCTTTCCCTTTACTTCCCAGTGTGCTTGTTCATCGCATGTCTGTGAATTTAACTAATTATTAATTACGCTTTCTCAACACAATTGGTATTCTGACGTATAGATATTTTCAAGTGAATTTATAGTGATACTAAAAGAAGTACACAGTTGACTAGTCAACGGGCTTCAGGGTCGAAATTGGGAAGTAACTCCAATAATCTCATTATAGGTTGGACTCTAATCCAGATATACACATGATAGGATAACAAACGTTTTCGGCTGTGATTATCTGAATGAAATGGGTTTTGATTCATTATGAATGTAGTCTTATTTTGAAATCGTGATCTGCCTTCCTTTGTTAATTGGAAACACTAGTTTTCAATTGCTCATTGAAATTCAACGAGTTTTGAGTGTTAAGGATCAAGTATATCGTAAAATAGGGTAATGACAAATGCAAAGTTAAGACATCAACAGTAACAACAGGTGTAGAGTAACAGGCCCTACGTTTGAGTGTGTTTGTGTGGAAAGGAAGCAAGGGACGGATAGGCTTAATCTAAGCATTTGATAAGGTTTTGGTAGAGTTGTAATATCTGGAAGTGTTGGATGGTGTAATTTATGCTGCCAGACCACCAGGCATGGTGCAATATGGATGACTTGCAATGATGTGACCGTTTAATATGTGCGATCTTATCTTGGCATTTCATCATTTTCTGTCCTAACGCGGCCCGTTGTGATAACCTCAGTATGCTACATTATAGAACCTTAAAAAGATGGGTAGAATCTTTCCAACAGAATGTAATGATGAAATAGCTGCGTAGAGTGGCCACTGACGTATGAACATGCCTCATGGTCTCAGTTCTGTTTCTGTTTCCACCTTCATTGACCTTCAGCACTTTTCAACGTTCAAACAGAAATTTTCTAAGGTAATACAAGTAGGAAAATAAGTGTTATTCTACTATCTCCACAAACTAAGGATCATCGGGATTCTAGTGCGAACAATGTTATCATAACTGCCAGGCATTACTCAAGTAGTCAAGAGGATGTTAGTCCCATCAAAGCGATATGTTGTCATACTAACTTTGAGTCAGTGCTCGAGAAAATCCTGACGCGCTAATAATGGGGGACCGAGAAACTAATCAACTATGGAATTCATGGAATTGGTCATTGTAAGAGAACCCTAAGGTTATTAACCATCCATGAACTACTGTTGTAAATACTGACCCTTCCTTACGGACGTGAATATATTTGCGACACGGCGTAATAGCTAGCCTAGGGCGTTTCTGTAGATTTTTACGTGTTGTCGTGCTATATGTTGAAATCTTTAAAGATAGACCCTGGAGTTAACAACCGCATGCAAACTTTTATTTTTAGGGCATCAACGCCTATTTGAACATTTTGTAAAGTAAGTTACTCCGATAATTGGCAGAATGACAGCACTATCAAAACGATGGTTCATTAACTATTGTAAATCAGCATACTGGTTTTGTGAGAAGGGATTTTGCCGTTAAAGATTCCCAACATCTTAGGGTAGATATGTCTCACTGTCAGTGACATTATTTCACCCTTTTCTCTAATATGCAGAGTGATGGCAAAACAAACAGCTGATAGTCTTTGACGGAGACAATTGGATTTTCTCGTTCAAAACCGTCGTTTCTACGGTAGGAACTGGTGTCACTTCTACCTGAATTTTGTGCTGATAATGTCGTTCACAATGACGATAAAACTCCCACGAACAAACCGTCTAACTCAGAGAACAAAACTCCATGCAAATCATCCACTTGGACTACAAATCTTTTTTACCATCACAAAACGAGTGTACATTCGTGTGCAATCAATACATCTGTATTAAACGCCATAGGTTCTCTAATATCAACGTTTACTCTTTAACATATTGTTTCACCATGAAGTAAGTTACTCCTAAATCTATATAAAGGAAGTCTGTTGGACCGTTTCAGAATTTATCTCCTCTGAAAGCTCCGTACACCAACGCGACTTTATATACTGGCCTTGCTTAACAGACGCTGACCAGGATATTTCAAATTGATGTCCATTAATTAGTGTCCCGACTCCTAATTTGGGGACTAGAGAGAATACACTGCTTTGCTCAAGACTTTTATTAGTTCCTTTAGGTAAGGTTATGTATTTCCATGTCTAATGGAGGTGTGAATAAGTCGTTTTGGAGTTGTCCTAAGGTGTAGCACTCTATGTGGTAAACGGATGAACATTATGTAAGATGGTGCAGTTGTGCTACATACATCTCGGCGAGAAAAATTTATACAAATAATGTAAACTCTGAGTAACATATATGGCTGATTTCTTTCAGTGGCTTCAGTATACACTGTAAGCATCTAACACATGACAATACATAAACCTGTACTAAGCATATATACCCATTAGAAATGCCGGTCTACTTTCCCAAATTGCTAGGAACACAAAAAGAAGTGATCAGAGATCATTGAATATTTTACTAGAAGATTGGTAATGCAAAGAGTACTTTCGGTCGCACTTCATAGTGAAAGAATGTCCATATAATTCAGCTCCCTTGATTATTGTCTGAGTATCCATGTAATTAGGGTAGACATACATTTTATTGTTGGCAACGATCACCTGTATAATTATGTTGTCCTAGATTCAGAAGCTGTAAGGCATTGCTACAAGTATAGACTACAAGAAAACGGAGTGCTTGCTTTGTAGGAGGACGTCATGAGTACATGTCTCTTGCAACTACCAGAACAACACTTTTCCTACATGCTGGAAAACTTTTGAGGCACTTTTGAATTCATCCTATGTCAAGAACGTTTGAAATAGGATTGCCTGACGAGAAGTATCGGCTAAGTCGGCCGAACTACTCTCAGGAGTACCTAAAGCCGTATTAGTCTTGAATAAATGGACAGAAAATTATATCAGCCGCCAAAGGATAAAATACGCTAGCCTTAGTTCGACAACCTGAGTATGTAATATCGAGGATTTTTTCAGCTTAAAGACAGACATGTATATAGCTATATGCCGTTCGACGCTTTCTGAGATATGCAGGTCTCCTAAAGGTATACAGACCACAATCTTAGTCTAGCTTTTATCCTGTACTTATTTTGCTCCCCCAACACTTCTACGTATTTGACTTTGACCTCTCTCTCCATTCATTACCAGTTGTCTATTTGTTCCCTGGATTTGTAAAGCCTTAATAGTGAAGACTTATGATGTGTGTAACTGAAGGCATTAGGTCGTTTTTAACACCAGAGGCATTTTTTAAGAAATCATCAAACAAATCTTGGACAACGAAGAACCAACTGTGGCCTTGGCGTCGGTCAGACTGTTACTTGGATTGTACGGTATCGGTTGGTGTTTCTTTTATTTTAAGTAGTGACTCAAATACTAGCTTACTTACAAGGTTAGAAGTAAAATGCTAATTGTTTTCTCACAATTTCCAAGTAAAGTTGTGTACATAGGTTATAAGTTTTCTTTAATATGTTTTCTCACAATTTCCAAGTAAAGTTGTGTACATAGGCTGTAAGTTTTCTTTAATATTTCCTTGGTTTCAGTGAGATATTTTCCTAAAATAGCTACCGTGGTTGAAGAGAGACCATTTCACGGGTGTTTAACCACAGTATGGTTTCTTTACCGACTTTCTAATATTTCGATCTTCTTTACAACAAATATGAGTGGATAATATTACCAAGTGGTAGATTTGTCATAGTTGACTTTCTCAGTTGGCGAAAAGTTCTTAGCCATGGGGTTTTGAGCTAGTGTTAGAATTTATAACAAGTTATTACATATATTATATATATGGGAACGGTCATTAGGAGTTGATACCCGACTTTTTGGCCCCTAATTGTAAATGGCTTATGGTTTACAAACTTTTATTCAATAATAACCCCCAATTGTCCTCGATTTCTTGTATGGCAGTAGCATAGTCTTTCATTCCCATTGTGCTAGTTTTACGTTCGATTCCATATCAAAGAAATCTCTGTATTTTCTTGTAATCTTTGGTAATTTCTGATGACTTTCAGTGCCTTTGGTGCCTGGCAAACTAACTACAATGATTTGACTAGTCAACATGCCTGTTGTCTCAATAGGATTTCTCTATCCTGTCTACACAGATAACCCCATCTTATTACGCGAAAACATTGAAAGAACACGGTTTGTACTTATTTAGCTATGGAGATTAGTTTCTAAGTGTAATATATTGTAGGTAGATGTGGTTCAGACTTTGGAGTACTTAGTTTTCATCTGAGGTGCGGAATCTAAACCCTCTCAACTACATCGATTTGAACAACTGAGTGGTATTACTAGCTCCACACGAAGTTTATGAAAGTACTCAGTACGGCGAAACTTCTGCTATTCCGCCTTTTTATATGAATAAGAAAGGTCCACCTAGGGGAGTTGGAAAACTGATTCCGAAGTAATGAGGTATATAGGCTACACAGTCACAAAAAAGCGAATGAAGTACAAATCTATTTCGGTCACTGAGTAGGGTGGATTTACATCTCTAGGGTTGCTCCACTACCTCACTGATTAGACATCTACGTTCAAAGGGTTAGAGAGTGGCTTTTTTAAATAAAAAAACTACTCTAGTTTTCGTCCCAGGGCTTCATCCTAGCTCAGGCGCAAATATAATGATGGTTGAGCCTTCATATGACTATTTAGGTTTGTTTTACCCATTCCTGTGTGCCCTGTTGTATGAAGCTCCACACGCCCGATTGCTCAAGTTCGAAGCTAAAAAGATAGGTCTTTAAATTTCTGAAAGGCTAGTAAAATATTTCGTGCGTTTTTAAAATTTTGTCCCTATCTATATAACCAAATATAGTCAGTTGTGTATACAGTTAGTCACTCTTAATTTGTAATTGTTGGATATTCGAAAAATGTCCACGTTTTATATATTCTTCATTTTCTGATATTTTTCAGGAGCTTATAGTCTCGTTTACTCCAAGTCCCCGAAGTGTATTCAAATAACCCTTGAATTCCTGTACTTGTTGGTGCAAAGTACTAATCTAATGTATAATGCTGTCTTCTAACATGATCACGTGCTCAAGAGGTACTTTCTTTATACCTGTTCGGTATTACCTGATGAGAAAGAGTTATGTGCCACCGGTACTTGAGCCTGGTGTCTATCCACATCCAAAACGTCAAGTGCCGGAATGTGGTCGGAAAACATTCAAAGAAAGAATCAAAGGTGAGATACTTAAGCTACGTAAAACATCAGTTTGTGACAATTTACCGATTTTGTTTGTATATAGTATCGTTTTGTTTGAGCAATTAGATAACGACAAAATACCAAAACTTGGTATAGTACAACGTTGTTCTATGTATTATACCCAAAATTCGATCTGTTTTCCCATTAATTACCAGGGAAGATCAAAGAATGTGATGGTGCTTCATATTTATTGTATCTTTGTGAATTAGTTTGTTACTATCTAGTGGAGTTTCGCTTTTAAGACTGTCTTGCGCTTTCTTTGTATTTCAATCAAGAACCTTAAAACATTCAACCAAACTGGGCATTTCAAATCAAAGATGACCTATGTATCCTTTTTAGATCTAAAAATTATTCTTCACAAAACCTTTGTAATAATCAACTATGCTTGCTAAGGTATTTCTAGAAATACATTAACTAGTTTACTCCTGATCAGTTAGCTATATTAGAGAAATATCTCCTATTGATCAGTATGGCTTGATTTAAATTGTTGCTTCGTGATCATTTAAATTGGTGTCTAGTGACTGGCGGGGGTGTTGTTTACGAAAGTGAGAGGACGAAAAGCGAATGTCCGGCGCTATAACCGGATTGGTGGACACGGAGGGTCCACCTAGGGGAGTTGGAAAACCCTGATTCCAAACCAATGGTGCACATGGGCTCCAGTATCCTGATGGAACGAATGGCGGAAGAACCTGCTGTTGGTCAACGGCAACCATGGGACTGCATCTCCTCACGATGCTCCACTGCCTTGTGGATCAGACCTTTAGGTCAAAGGCTCGGGGTGTGGTCCCCTAAGAAAACCACCTGCTTCGGTTTGGGCACCCGGGCAGTATCACAGCCCACACACAAACAAATGAATGAAATTATGAACTCTATTGACGATATCCCTGGTCATACTAAAAGCAAGACAATTAACATTATTATTATTACCTTTATTATTATTATTATTATTATTATTATTATTATTATTATTATTATTATTATTACTTACCATATCGCTAATTCACCCCCTTTTATCCCCAATTTGTGTAACCTTACTCTTCAACTTATGCAGCAGCTCGCTCTTGGTGGAAAATCTGTCCTATCTAAACGATCTCCAGTCACTGTCTGGTTAAAAGTGAATGCTTCCACCGATTATGAATACTGAGGCAGTCTTTCTGAAACCACGTACGCCGTTCAAGCTGGCTTCCTTCAACGTTCGCACACTAATGCAGATCAGACAACAGATAGGGCTGGCTATGTCTTTGGAAGGTCTTAATGTTGACGTTTGTTGTCTATCCGAGACCCGTATTCAAGACTCTAGTGAAGTACTACAAATCCGCTCTCCATCTGTCGCCTCGAAAAGCTTGTTCCACGTGCGCTTATCCGGGGACCCTGTGGCATCTTCGTCTGGTCTTGCTGGCGTTGGTGTCGCACTAAGCGCTAGAGCTGAGGCAGCACTAATCGATTGGATCCCCATTAACAGTCGGTTATGTGCTGTTAGATTAGAAAGTTCCATCAAAGTGAGAAGAAACCGGCGTGAGAAACGGTGTCTTTTCGTCATCTCCGCCTATGCTCCGACAGATTGCAGCCCGGATGCAATCAAGGATGAGTTTTACCATCAGTTAACAGTTCTTCTCCAGAAAGCGCGTTCGACAGATATTGTAGTACTAGCCGGAGACTTGAATGCACAGGTCGGGCGTCTAGGCACAGAAGAGAGTCGTTTAGGTGGCCGATGGGGACTTGTTGGTCGCAGGACAGATAACGGGGACCGTTTGCTGCAACTGTGCACAGACCACAACCTGTTTCTGGCCAGCACTAACTTCCGGCACAGTCATCGCCGATGTGCCACCTGGCGTCCTCCCTCTGCATCCCAAGCCTGGACTCAGATTGATGACATCGCGATCAGCTACCGCTGGCGTGGTTGTGTACAAGACTGCCGCTCCTTTTGGAGTACCTATCTGGAGTCTGATCATGCCCTGGTCTGCGCCAATCTCACCTTACTTTTCAGTGGCCGAAGGATTGACCACCACCAACGGATTGATATTAGTAAACTGGCTGCAACTTCTGTTGCAAGTAAGTATCGAGCTGAGTTAGCCTCTAGGCTAGCTACCACCCCACCGAAAAGTATAGACGAGCATTGGTTGCATCTTCACGACGCCATGAAAATGGCGAGTAAAGCCGCTTGCGGCTTCGCGAAACGTCCCGCTTACAAGCACTGGGTTTCTTCTGGCTCCTTACAACTGATGGAAGCCCGTCGGTCTACTCCGGGTGACCGTGAGTTTGACCACAAACGAAGGCTGTTACGTAATGAAATCGGGCAAAGCTTGTGTAAGGACCGGGAAGCCTGGTGGTCGGAGCGTGCTAATGAGATGGAAGCAGCAGCTGCATCTGGTAACTGCCGGAAGCTCTTCCAACTCATCCGAGCCACTGGCAGCAAGAAGTCTGGTGTGAGTGAAACAATCTACGAGGATGACGGGATGCCAATCACTAACATCTGTCGACGTCTTGGACGATGGGCGGAATTTTTCGAAGGGCAGTTCAACTGGCCTGCTGCTCCGGCAACATCAACCAGCTTGTCCTGCCCCCCATGGCCGGTGACGACTGTTCCACCAAACGAGGCGGAAGTCCGCAAGGAACTCCAACTCTTGAAGCGCTACAAATCACCTGGCCCAGATGACTTACCTCCGGCTCTTTTTAAAGATGGTGGCGACTTTCTGACTAAGGAATTGACTGTGTTGTTTGGAAAGGTTTGGGAGCAAGAAAGTGTTCCAACATCTTGGAATGAGTCAATAGTCGTCCCTATCTTCAAAAAGGGTTCACGTTGTTCCTGCAATAACTATCGGGGGATAAGTCTACTTTCGATCGCGTCCAAACTATTGGCTTCTATCATTCTTCGTAGGTTGTTTAAAACCCGAGAACGATTGACTCGCGAGGAGCAGGCTGGTTTTCGTTCTGGTCGAGGATGCATTGATCACATCTTCACCCTCCGCCAAATGTTAGAACACCGTCATACTTATCGCAGGCCAACAATCGTAGTGTTTCTTGATATCAGGTCGGCCTTCGATTCGTTGGACAGGACTGTTCTCTGGGATTGTCTATTGAAGAAGGGTGTGCCTGAGAAGTTCATTAACATCTTAAAGGCCCTGTATACGAACACCTCAGGCAGAGTGAGGGCATACAACCACCTTTCTCCCTTGTTCCATTCGAGCAGTGGGGTTAGGCAGGGTTGCCCGATCTCACCATTCCTCTTCAACTTTGCCATCGACGACATCCTAGAAACAGCTCTGATGGATGTAAGTAATGGCGGTGTGGATATGTTGCCTGGAGAACGACTTCTCGACCTTGAGTATGCGGATGATATTGTCTTACTGTGCGATAATGCCCAAGGCATGCAATCAGCACTTAATCAGTTGGCAATCAGTGTCCGCAGGTACGGCATGTGCTTTGCACCCTCCAAGTGCAAAGTACTCCTACAAGACTGGCAGGATTCTCATCCTGTACTCACCCTGGATGGTGAGGAGATCGAAGTAGTTGAGAAGTTCGTGTATCTAGGTAGCTATATAAGTGCTGGTGGTGGCGTGAGTGATGAGATTGATGCACGTTTAATGAAAGCCAGAGCGGCTTATGCCAATCTGGGCCATCTTTGGCGCCTTCGTGATGTTAGTCTGGCTGTAAAAGGTCGGATCTACAACGCGTCGGTGAGAGCAGTTTTGCTCTATGCTTGTGAAACCTGGCCTCTCCGAGTTGAGGATGTTAGACGTCTCTCTGTGTTCGATCATCGTTGTCTCCGAAGGATTGCTGACATCCAGTGGCAACACCATGTTAGTAATGCAGAGGTTCGGCATCGTGTGTTCGGGCGCAGAGACGATAATTCAATTGGTGTCACCATCTTGAAACACCGACTTCGGTGGCTCGGACATGTTTTACGAATGTCATCCCAGAGACTTCCGCGTCGTGCATTATTTGCCGACCCTGGGACTGGTTGGAGAAAGCGGAGAGGAGGTCAGTGTATGACATGGTGTCGTGGCATGAAAGAAAGCTGCAAAGGGCTAGCTTTTGTTGGTCCTTCACGACTCCCTGGTTGGGGTCCGAGAGATAGTGCAACACAGTGGCTAGAGACGTTATCGGATATGGCTCAGAATAGAAGCCAGTGGCGATCCTGCTGCAACCTTCTTTTACTTTCTTCACAAAGAGTGGCTATAACTTTCCTAACTGAAAGAGTCTTCTGGTTGTACATTTCAGCCCGCCTTATCTTTTCATCCTTTATCTACCTACTTTCATTATTTTGTGTGGCGCATATGTACCTGGTGCCCTTTTGTACCAATATATATGTGTTTAAATAAATAAATAAATAATAAGTGACTGAATGTCGGTTGCTCATAAAAACTAGTTTACTTGCAAGAGCCTTAAAACGAACTGACATCAAAAGATGAAATTATTAGCATGCTAATTGTTTTTACTCAGTAAAGTAACACATGTGTGCACGAAGTATAAGACAAAATAAGCACTAGAGTTTACATTTATGACCTTTTTGAAGCTATATTATCTGACAGTCATTGAACAAATTGTCAAATTACAAAATCGTGGTTCTATGTAGACACTATTCTAGGTGACATAAACTAGTATAATAGGCAGCAGTTCGCTCTGTGACTGGAATAATACGTGTGAAAATAAAAGATATGTGTAGGTTGAGAGTATTTTGTAATAAATATTTCAGGAGCTGAACTTGAAGAGGTTATCTT